ATCTGTATATATTTGTCAGGAAACTAGGGAAGAGAAGAGGTCAAGGGAAACTCCTTTGACTCGTTACAAACCATACCTCTTTATGCTCTCTGCCTAGAGATATTCATGCCATCCTGTCCTCACATGTCTTCAGAGTAGACTTAGGGACAGTGACATCCTTTTCTCAAGACCAAGCAGAGAAAGGGCAAATATTTTTCCCCAAAAGGAAGTCTCAGGAGCAATTTTTAGCTATCTCACCTTTTAAAGCAAGCTCTCCCCCTCCAAGGAAACCCTGTGCCTAAGCACTTATGAGTTCTGTGATGTGGGATACAAAGCTTTTCCAAAACATAACCACAAAGGACAAGTAATATGTAATATGGAAAGCGCATGCGTGCATGTGCGTATATGTGTGTGTATGTATGTGTCTGTTTAACAAGAAGTCAGTTATATGGCATACATTATGCAAATTTATATCCATTTGGTGAATAAATTCTCATTTTCAGGCTGCCTCTAGCATGGGCTGTAGAGTTCCATACATTAACCCGAAGTTATTATTTATTTGCTAACAAATGGAGTCAATGAAAACCATTTCACATAGGAAAGAAGGGTAGATGGTATGCAAATTATTTGAGAAATCATTTGAAAACTGATGGCAAATCCTTCTGTATGTTAAGATCATGCAGTGGGATGACCTCACCACCCAAGGATTCCATCAAAGCAAGTGGTGCAAGAAGCATTCTGTAAGTGGCCTCTTCCTGCTGGTGGGTTTAATAAAACAGAGCCCATTAAAGGAAAGAAAAGCTGCTTGGTTTAAACTGGATCTTACAGACCTCAGTCTAGTGCAATCATCCAACTGTTTTCTAAAGAATATACATTTGAAATCATGAAGACCGAAAAACTGCTTTAAAAAGTTACTTGTTCTGAATCTTATGTCAGAGATAGTAAAGGGCGGGGGGCGGGGGGGAACCATACCAAGTCATCCAGGCAGTTAACCAGCAATTTTAATTCAAACTCTCTTTTACTATTTTCAGAGAATGGCCTTGAAAATGAGCCTCATTATTAATAGCATTTATGTTAAATCATATAAACCTATCTTTCAAGACTCAGTGAGATCTAAATTGCATCTCGACAACATGTGATTATACCCAGGCATTTTCACAACTTACCTCTCAAAACACCTGAGGAAAGAAGGTGATTTCTCAGCCTTCTTGGAACACTGCACTGTACCAAGAAGCCACAAGCAAAAGCTGAGCCCCGCACCCTGCCCGGGGGTGGGGGGCAGCCATATCTGGCATGAGAAGTCACATGTGTTCTATCAGACATGGGCTCCTTTAAGTGTAGCCCTTTGCAAATCAAACATAAATTCATTCTTGTGGTTCTTTCTTGACTGAAAATGTTGGATCGTGAGTGTTTCCATTTGGCTTTTTATGGATCTTACAAATCAGTCTGTATTGTTCACAAAATAATGACTTTTCTAAAGACTTTCTGATGCAGGATGCTATAAACAGGCCCCCTCTACTGGGGCGATGCACTAGGGCAAGAAGTCTTGCGGAAATTTCTGTGGGGCCTCAGCTCATCCCCTCCCGATCGTCCAAAAGAGGTAGATGTTGTTTTACCCTCATTCCTTGGTGGCACAAACATGACCCCCTGGGGCCACCAGAGTGCAAAACCAGATTCTATCCCTTTATTCACTGTGTCCCCTTGGATGGGGTATTGAACCTCCCTGAGCCTGTTTTCTTACCTGAATCTGGCAGAAAGGGGGGGAAAATCATATACCAGATATTGATTAAACACTACCCATTCCAGACAGAGTCAAGATCTTAAGGGAACAGAAACAGTCTTAATGAGTCTCCTCCCTCAAGGAGCTCATGATAAAGAAGTGAAACCTTCAGCTTGCCAGAGAGTAGTATGTGTGAGCCAGTGAGGGGCATTTTAGTTAGGGGACCAGGAAAGACCTTGAAGAGAAGGTGATCTGTCAAGAAAGACCTGAAGAAGGCGAAGGAACATGTCATGTGGGCATGTGGGGGAAGAGCCTTTCAGGCTGAGGCGACAGCAAGTGAAAAGGCCCTGTGATGGGAGTGGGCCTATGCAGGAGAAAGGGTATCACCAGAGCAGAGAGAAGGCCAAGCAAGAGGAGATGAGATCAGAGAGACAATAAAGCCAATAAAGCGGTCAAGATCATCCAGGAAAAGAGTTAACAAACTATAGCCTAGGGTCATATGTGACCCGCCACCTGTTTTTGTAAATAGTTTTATCAGAGCCACAGCCCTGCCCTTTGGTTTACACATCGTCTATGGATGCTTTCAAACTACAACAGCAGAGTTAAGTAGTTGCAACACAGACCATTCATTGAGCCCACTAGGCCAAAATATTTGCTATCTGGCCCTTTATAGAAAACACGAATCTCTGGCTTAAACAAATAGGGGTTTATTTTTTTCCATGATGAGTCTAGAGTAGGCAGTGCAAGAGCCCCATGATGTTAATAATACCCAGATTCTTTTTATCTTTATGGTCCACTAGCCTTAGCATATGGACATGTTTTATCATGATCTCAAAATAGCTGCCAGTGTTCCAGAAATTACACATGATATCCACATTTGAGACAGAAAGGGATATCTGTTCCTTCCACCAGGAAAGCAGAATTTGACTTTACCCCACCCCCAGCACATTTTTGCCTATCTCTTCACCCAGAAGTCGGTCATATGGCCCTGCTAGCTTCAAAGGAAGCTGGGAAAGCCGTGAAAAGGATCGTCGAGATTAACTGAGACAGTGGCTTTCAAATGTTTTTGACCATAGCCCACAGTGAGAAACACATTTCATATCAGCCTAATGCATGTAACTGAAACAATAATGCAAAGAAAAGTTTCATAAGACACAACTTATACTTACTTTGTGTGCTGTAAACTGATATTTTCTCTTCCATTATTTTTTAAATACAAGTCACATCATCTACTAACTTAATTTCATGACCTACTGTTGGGTTGTTGCAAGTGCCATAGGAAAAATGCAAGTGGTCACTAGGGGCTGGCATGGTACTGGCTCTCCCTCTCTCAGGTTTTTTCCTTTTATTTTTTTTAAAAGATTTTACTTATTTATTTGAGAGAGAGAGAGAGAGAAACAGAGAATGAGCAAGGGGGAGGAGCAGAGGGAGAGGGAGAAGCAGATTCCCCACTGAGCAGGGAGCCTGATGCGGGGCTTTATCCCAAGACCCTGAGATCATGACCTGAGCCACCCAGGTGCCCCAACTTTTTGCCTTTTCTGTTCCTTTCCTTCCTTTCTCTCTTTTTTCCAAAGGAGAAAGTGGATAATGGATTGGCAACTAACGAAATCACAACACCCACCATAAGTGAGCTGGGGACCATATACAGTTTCATTGAAAACTGAAGGAAAAGGTGATCCTCCTTCTGAAGGAACTAAGGACCCTGATGATGGACACTTGTGTTCCATGTAAAATCCAGGTGGAAATACCCATTCCCTAGGGGTGTTGAGGGGATTGTGTGGGATCCCCGATGTATTGCAGTAGCACAGTGTATGACACACAGTGGGAGTGCAAGATACATCAGGTTGCTTCCTCAAACACAATCATCATTCCAGGCTAGTCCTGGTCCCAGATATAGCATCAACTAGATAAGAGAGAATGATTCATTCTCAAGTGCTGGAAAGCCCCAGGGAAATTGTATGTTACCCTGGTGCTATGTTTATTTACTCTAGTGGGCATAGAATGAATACTCAGAGGTTAAGGGCTATGTTGAATTTTCCCCACTGTTTCCAAAAAACTTTCAGAAGCATCAGTTACTGAGTGCCTCAGCTTTGATGACCAAAACTTTGGGCTGTGCAGGAGTGGGGGTCCCTGACCACAGGGGAGCCCTGAGCTGGCCAAGGATGGGTCATTCTTCACAGATTCATGCAAAGGCAAAGTTGAAGAATCTCTGGTCATCTTTAGTCCCCTCGTTTTTGCAGGTGGGGAAATTGAGGCAATTGCAACATGGCAAGGTCATGCAGGAAACAGACAGCAGAGCCCAATCTCTTGACCCCAAATCCCCCAGCCCTGACAACAATGATTAGCACAGCCCCTCTCAAGAGGGGGCCAGGGGCCCACAAACTCAAATCCCAGGCTGATTTTACCTGCATTTTTCTAGAAGGTACATACCAGGTTCTAAAATGGCCATCTGTTTCTACAAAGATTAAGAACCACAGGTCGAATGACACTAAAATGATTTGTGTTGAGAGTAGGGGAGTAGAGGTCCAAAGGTTAGGACTAGGGATGGTGATATAAAACAGAAACTGCAAATGTTTCCATCAGCCCTTTCCCCATCCCCCACCACACCCCCGCCACCCCCACACCCCAGAAACTGAAACTGTCTGAGCTCCCCAAAAGGCCTGTGGGTTTCAGTCCCGTCTGCCTCGGGCGGTGCAGGCAAATCCTCATTCAGCTGGCGGTGACTGGAAGAGAAGTTTATCTCCTCTTTACCATCGGATCCGATTTCTTAAACGCGGTGGAGCTCTGACAGGCCACGCCAATCGAACAGCAGGACCACACACAGGTGCCCCATGAGCAAAAAAGATAACGGATAACGTCCTCCCCAGCGCACACTAGTAATTTCGGCGCCCACGCAGCGGCCTTTGTTGGAAGCCCAAGGGTCCTGGTCACCCAAGGGTCCCGGACTCCGCCCACACCCCGAACCCTCCAAGCAGAGTCTGGGCTGCTTCCTCCAAGGGTCTCCGGGCGCCCTCGTCATGGTGCGGCGACATGTCTCGGGTCTGACTCCCCAACCATCCCCGCCGCCCCTCGGGCACCACCCGGAGCCCACCCTTAGCGGTGTGCCGGGGGCAGGGCGGGACGGACGGGGCGGCGCCATTGGCCAGCGCGAGACGAGAGGCGGGGAGGAGGCGGGGAGGGGCGGGGCGGAGAGGGACAGATGGGGCGGGCCATTGGCCAGTGCCGGGCGAGGGGCGGGGAGGGGCGGGGAGGGGCGGGCCCTACGCGCCAAGCCCCGGAGACCTGGGGCATTAGGCGCTGCGGACACAGCTCGGGTGCCGGCGAGGGCACAGCACGGGCAGAGGCTTCTGGACTGCGCGATGAGCGGAGGGTGAGTGATGTACAGGCAGGAGTTTGGGGGCGTCCGGGGAGCACCGTCTCCCCCCGTCCCCGAGCCCGAGACCGCCCCCAGCCGTGGACTCTGGAGCTTGGGCACCGGTGCCCCTTGGCTGCCGCGTGCAGAGTTCCCTCCCCCTGCCAGCCTGGCGCAGCCCGGGCCTCAGGCCCATTGCTGAGAGCGGGCACTGCGCCAGGCACCTTCTCCAGGGGGAAGGCACTTCAAGGGCTCAAATCTGGCCAGGATAGGTGAGAGCGGCCGCAGGCTACACCTTTGTTCACCTTGTCTCTCGTCTTAGGCATTGATCTTAGTTGGGGGGAGAGGCTCAAAGAGGCTCTACACAACCCTCAGATTTCACAGATGGAAAACCGGCGCCGAGATAATAGCAGAAGGTAGCAGAAGGAGGGGCTTGCCTCACCACGCTATTTATAAAGGATTTGCCTGGTTCCCAGACCTGTGCAAAGGGCAGTAGCACAATATGGCACCTACTTCTCACAGTCCTGATATTTTCATTATCCCCATTATCAGATGAGAAAACTGAGGCTTACAGAGTTATGGAATTGTCCAGTTTCACCCAGTGGTGGAGTCAGGATTTGAACTCAGACTTTGTTGTGCCAGGTCTCATTCATTTCACCCACTGACTTCAGAGTTCACCCTGCCTGCCATCCTGTCCTGCCCCTCCCCAGCCCCCCATGCTCCTGACTCTCTGATTCTGGAGAGATGCTTCAGAGTTTTGACAATCTGACACAGCCTTGTGGGAGGGAGGGTCCCCCTCTCACACACCATCAGTGCAAGGCCAGTGCTGGCCAGTGCTTTCTTAAAACACTGTAAGGAGATCTTTAGTAACCTCACTTCATAAACAAATAAAGTTGCAGCAAATGGGGCTGGGATTCTGGAATTTGAACCCAAGCAGGTTAGACTCCAAAACCACACACTTGCACTGGCGGAAGAAACCCTTACTAGCTTCTCTGTAGTTTTAAACTGCTCAGGGGGCAACCAAGCTTTGTTGCCAGTAGCCATGATTTAAAAAAAGAAAATTGCAATGAATTGGTAGAACTAACAGGTGAACCTGCTCCCCAGTATAATTCCTGAGCTGTGGCCACCAGGGTGGGAGGTGCTAGAGGGAGGAAGGGAGGAAGGAGAGACTGGGGGAGCGAGAGGAGAGGAAGGGGGAGGAGACAAGGGGAAGGGAAAGAAGGGAAGACAATGGAACACATTAAACCTGGGTCAAAAATTTCTGGCTGGAAGTTGTAATGGGGTGTGTTTCAGCACTTTGTCAGTGGCAAAGTGTATTTTCAGTAGTTCTTGTCATAATTCTCTGTGTGTGTGGTGCTGGTGGTTCAAGACTTGACAGTGAAAGTGAGGCTGAGGCCACAGATTAGACAGCCCCTGTGAAAGTGGGAAGGGAGGCCCTGTTTCCACCCTGAGACTCCAATGGGTGGCCTGGAGGTGGAGAACAGAGTGAAGGTCCAGGGCCCCCCGGGTCAAGGTCAGCTGGACAATGCCAGAGGACCAAGAACATGAGCAGAACTCAGCATGTCGCAGTTCAGATTCTGTCAATGCAAAGCCTCACAGGGAGACCCTGACTAGGAGGTCTTCCAGAAGGCACTCTGGACTGGGCCCTGGTTTGGAGAGTAAACTCAGCCATATGTCCTTGCTCACAGCCACTCCAGCTGGGAGGACTGCCCTCCTCTTTGAGTCCCACATCCCCATCTCCAGAACCCCGCTATCTCTTCCGACCCCCGTTGCGACCTGTCATGGGAGCCTCGGCTTATTATGGGTGAGCTCCATGTGAGGCCCATCTGACAGCAATCAGTGATTCAGCTAATGAGGAATCTGAGGGTCAGAGAGAGAAAGGGACTTGGCCTAAGGTCACACAGCGGACGAATCAGAGCAGAGCTTTAAACCCAGATCCTTCTGAAGGCTGGGTGGTTATCTGGTCACAGAGTACACTGAAGGAAATATTTTGGAATTGTTTTAAATAAATTAAGATCAAATAGGAAGTGGCTATACTTCCCATAGCTTTTTCTCTATTAAAGGGGAACTTACAGTTTGCTCAGTTTTCTTTTCTGGCTGCCTGACCTCCTTCCCCAGGATGCACTGCCTGAGGGAAGGATTACGAACCTCTTCCGCTTGCCCCGCCTGACTCTGAGGCGGTGGGAGCAGGGAGCTCATGCAGTCCCATAGCTGCAGAGCTGGGAAGAGCCCTGAAGACATTCTGGACCAGCTGCCCATACAATCCTGGCTAAACTGAGGCCCAAGGGACAGCACAACATGCTGGAGTCACACGCCAGGTGGATGCGGCAGCAAAACCCACACCCAGACTTCTCTCTGGGAGGCCCCTTTGCCTCCTCTCACTGTGACACATTTAAGCAGAAGTTCTTAACCTGGGATCTGGGGATCCAGGGGCACATGAATAGGGGCTTCCTGAGGCCCCTGCAGTGGTATACAAATTTGGCGTGTGCATACTTGCACACTCATGCACATATGTGCATTTCCCGGGGAAAGTTAACACTTTCAAGAGATTCCAAAGGGCTTTCAAGAGATTCCAAGAAAGCACCCCCAGCAACTGCACTTGGCCCACAGGCCTGGTGCAGTAGACAGCAGAGGTGGGGGCAGCCAAGGATAACCCCCCGGTGCAGCCCTGCAGCTGCTGGCTCGGAGGGCTTGTGCCCCAGGCATTCAGGATCTTGGTCATTCGGAGCACCTGTTTGGCCCAAAAAGCGTGGCTGAGAGGATTCCTGTTTGCATGGATGCCGACTTCCAGAGGCAAGAGGTGAGCCTGGTTTTGGCAGGAAGGGCCCCTCTGGCCTCTGGTGTGTATGAGAGAGGGAGCGGGAGGGAGCCTCAGGTTGCCGTGCCTTGGAAAGCAAGAGCAGAAACCAGAAATCCTGCCGCAGGGGCCTGGGTGAGGCGCCGCCTCCGAGCTAGGGCTGTCTGGAAGATGTGAGCAAGGCCAGCCTGCTCGGGTGTGGAGCGCCAAGCTCTTCAGAGGAAGGGCAGCAGGGTCAGGGAGGCCTGGGTGCCAAGATGGGCTCAGGGAGACCTGTGGGTGGAAGCCCAGGACCCTGGAGGTGGGGAGGATGCAGCAAAGGCAAGTTGGGGTCCATGAGTAAGCCCAGGAGAAGGCAGTGGTAGAGGTGGCTGGCGGCTCTGCAGTCACCTCTCCTGCTCTCCCTCAGCCACCATCACCTCCATCTGGACTGCGCACAGTGTCCCCCCGGGTCCTCCTTCCTAGCTACCATGCTGAGGCAGGGAGGGGCATGGCTGAGCCCAAGGCACATGGTGGCAGAGGGAGGGGGGCGGCCGTTGGAACTGGAGCGGGGGGGAAGGACAGCCGTGTGGAGGGGCAGGGGCAGCAGCTGCTGAGTCGCTGCCTGCCAGCCGCACCCCAACAACTGGCTTTCTCAGCGAACATGTGCTGCTGAGGGGCTGCCTGTGTCCAGCCAGGCCCCCTCTCAGAGGCAGCTGGTACCAGCACCAAGCCCTGCAGCTTCCTCCCTGGCTAAGGCTCCTGCCATTTGCTGGCTGACAGATGCCAGAGGGGGGCTGGGGGGTGCTTTAAGGCTCCTTGTTTTCAGTGCGTCCTGCTGCCCCCTCCCCGCAGCTGGCCTTTGGAAGTTGTGGTCATGGGCTGTGGAGCAGGGAACTTAGGCTTCTCAGGAATGCCAGGCAGTGGCCCTGCACCTGCCCTCTCTCTCTGAGCCTCCTGCCTCCTTCCGGTGGAAGCAGCCTGGGTCCAAGGCTCCCAGCTGGGCCCCACCGCTCTGTCCTCCTTTCTTCCCCTTCCCACGTCACTTTATTTACACATTTGATTTTAATCATGCCTAAAGAAGAAAATAAGCATCATAATTTTATAAAGTATTAGAGGTTACCAGATCTCACAGACATCCCCAGAACATTTAAATTTGGATATTGATGCATTTGCCATTTTGCCAAGTGAGGACAATGACCATCTATTTTCGCCATCATTGTATGAAAAGAGAGGGCATTGTAAGAGGAAAAAGTAGGCAGCACAGAGTCCCGAAAGAAAAGGCTTTCAAATGCACTCAGTTTGGCTTCATGAGAACCCCACTCCCTTAGCCTTTTTCTCCTTTGCCCCTGGCCAGCAGGATTGGGCTGCAGTGGTGACCCAAAGAGCCACAAAGCTGCCTTCTTCTGTGATAACCGGCTCCATGACCACAAACAAGGGTAGGATGGGCCAAGCCTCACAGTTGTAAAGGCTTCAGTGTCCTTTGTCCCAAATCAAAGGCCAGGGACAATGGCCAAGGCAGGCTGTGGTGCTGGCTGTCCTTAGCAGCCCCCCTGCACGGCTGGCCGAGCAGCCGCTGAAGTGGAAAGCAAGAACAGTTCACTGCCTGTTCTCTGGGGACAGGTAACCGTGGCTGGCACGTCACCCTGGGGCCCCCTTCTGAGTCCTCCGGTTGGGAACAGAGCCTCCTCCAGCCCTGGGAGAAAACACTGAGGCCTGAGCTGTGTGCCCTGGGGCTGGGGGAGGGGAGCAGGCCAGGACAAAGAGGGCTGGCCTCCCAGAGCCGCAGGGCTTGGCCTGCCCAGCTGCGTCTGTCACTCTGGTTTTTGGACGGGACCTGGGTGGCAGGCCAGCTCCAGCCCATCCTTTCCCCAACTCCAGCTTCAACCAAAGTAGCCTTGCTTTAATCTGTTTGTACATTCGGCTTCTGCCTTTACAAATAAGACTGTCTGTTTTATTAAAGGTTGAAAAGCATTCCATTAGAGATTGTCCAAGGCCCTGTCCAGTGCACAGGGAGAGTGAATGTTTAAGGGGCAGTTTCAGAAGCACCTTCTGAACAGAGGGATCTCTGTTTGATTTCTTCCTGGGGGGTTCCTCTCTCTCTCTCTGCCCCTCCCTCCCTCTCTCTCTCTCTCCCTTCCTTGCAGCTCTCTCATTCAGCAGTTCTCTCTAGGGTACCCCTCAGTCACACGTGCACCTCACTTTAGAACTCTACAAGACACAGGGATTATCAAAATGAGTGAAAAGCATCTCAAGTTCAGTCTGCTAAAGGAGGCACAAATGCACAGTGTTCAGATTTGGAGTGGAAGTCTGTGAGTGACCCCCAGGTTTAGCTCTGGAACTCAGGGAGGTGGAGATGTTGTCTACTTGGGGGGGAAGGGTGGACATGTGAGAATCAGAGAGACAGATGATGAATGTCAGAAGACACAGAAATGTGTGATTCTCTCAAAGAAGAGGCTGTTTTTCCAGGGGGCCAAGGTTCCTACCCCATAAGGCTCAGACCCAGCCCAACAAGTTGGAAGAGACCCCCTTTGCTGAAGTGTCCCCTTCGTTGCCTCCCCGCAGCCTTGCTCACTCATCTTCTGCCCTCCCCAGGGATGGCATGCCCCATTCTCCATCTCTGCCAAGCTAAGCTATTTACCCTCTGGTCACCTTCCCCTTTCTCTTTTCCCTTGACCATCTATAATCCTAGACCATTCTTTTTTTTTTTAATTTTTTTAGTTAACATATAATGTACTATTTGTTTCAGGGGTATAGGTCTGTGATTCATCAGTCTTACGCAATTCACAGTGCTCACCATAGCACATACCCTCCCCCATGTCCATCACCCAGCCACCCCATTCTCCACTTTCCTCCTGACTCCTTCCCCCAACTGATGCCACCCAACTCCAGCTGGAGCCGCTCAGCATGTTGGTCATGACCTTCTAAAGAGCAGATTCTGGACACTGAAGCTCTCTGGAAAGCCAGTGCAGGGAATGTGTTACTTAGTACTGTGCTTTGCAAATAGTATTATCCAGAGTCCTAGGCAAAACCCTGGAAGGGGTTCCCCAACACCCACCTCACTGTCAACCCAGCAGCCCCCTTTAATCTGATTTGCATAAATATTCCATTTGAACAGAGAGTTCTACAGTTGAGAAAATTGGAGATCAATATTCCCATCGCACAGATGGGAAAATGAAAGCACAGAGAGGGAAAGGCAGGCAACTGAAGCCTTGAGGGTCTTTAGCAGCTCCTGGCCCAGAGCTCTTTAGGAAGCATGTTAATAACTAATCACTGCATGACTTACAGATGTTCCACTTATAAGTATTCCTACTAAATAGAGCAAAATCGGCATATTCCCCACATGTTGTGGGAGAATAAAGTATTGTAAACTGGGTCCTGTGGTGAATCAGAAGTCACACACTGGAGCCCCACCAAGGTCACCTGTCTTGCAAGTGTGCTTTGTCTGGTTACATTTTATTTTTAACTATATATTTTTTAACTGAATAATTTCCTGCATTAGTCAGGATAGTCTAGGTCATGCTGCAGTAACAAATCCCTGAGACGCCAGCAGCTTTTCCCAGCAGAGCATTATTTCTCTTTCCCAATCCATATCCACAGTGGGTTAGCAGAGGACTCTGCTCCATAGAGGCACTCAGGGACCCAGGCTGACCATCTGGAAGTGGCACCAATTGGGACATGCAGCTTTTGGGGTCACCGTGGCAGAGACCAGGGTCATACATGGCTCGAACGCACTAGCCTGAGAGTGACACACAACCCTTCTTGCGTGTGACATGTGAGGTGTTAGGCACATGGCCCCACGGGGGCCTGAGGAATGTGAGCTAGCACAGGGCAATGTCTCGGCCACAGTGTCCACCTTTAAACAGTGAAATGTAGCCCATACAAATCCAGATGTCTGGCTTCTCGTGACACTCCAGAAGAGCTGACCCTCCAGAGAAGGAATGTGTCTGCCAAGTCCCCATGGATTCCACTGACCAGTGTCTCAGCAGAGTCACTTCCCTGACCCCTGTTGACATTTACATGTTTTATTCCAGCTGTATATGCACAATTCTGGGAAAGTTGACTTTGGAGGACCCCGTAAGGCTTCTCAAATTCATCCAGTAATTTAACAGCATCTATGCACCTCCTGCTATGTGGCAGGCTCAGGTTTGGGGCTGGAAACCAGGGGTGAGCCAGAAAAGTACTGTCCCTGGTATGGAGGCCTGCAGCTTCAACCTCACTTCCCACTCCCCGCCCCCCCACTCCCCCAGCGTCCGATCAGCTCCCTCACACACAGGCCAGACCCTGCAGACCCAGCACAGCCAGGAGCCCAGAGCAGGTGCTGGACTGGAAAGGAGCCTCTCCTGATATGGGAGGAGGTGGCTCTTCTGGCAAGGGTGTCCTGGAGAGCTCGCAGCCGAGTATAGGACAAGGAGGAGACTGTTTTCTGGACAGCACCATGAAGACCCAGAAGGAGGACAAAGCGGAAAGCCCGTTAGGAGAAATGAGAGCAGCTCAGGGAGGCTAGAGCTCCTGGCAGGGCATGAGGAGGGGTGGGAGAGAAGCTGGCTGCAGAGGAGACAAGAGAAAAAACCACCTGCTGTTACTTCTGGGCAAATCCAGCCCTTCCCACGATGAGCCTGCATAAAGCGAGACACAGTAGAGCCATGGGTCCACAGAAGCAGTGGTGAGTGAGAAACCCAGATACTTTTCTTGGGCTGAAGCCAGCTCTGCATGGAAGTATTTGAGGAACTGTACAGAGAGGGAGCCTGGCAGATCACTTTTTCCACTGGAGCCTCAGGAGCTGAGGAACTGAAACCCGATTTTGAAATCCTGTTGCCCAAGAGCAAGGCCCCCGCTCCAGGCCCCCATGGTGCCTAACCCTGTGCCCTATGGAGGTAGGGCCTCACTGTGGCTACAGCCGGGGGCCTAACCTCTCTCTAGGCTGCGTTTTGCCTCAGTCTAGACCCAGGCAGAGCGGAAGTATTTATAGGATGATTCTGAGGTCACTGAGAAGCCCACCTCCCTCAGTTTGTTCCCCTTCTCTATGTTTCCCTGCTTCCAGAATCAAATGGTGGTTCAGGCCTGATGCTATCACAGAAGGCAGGCTTGTCTTATTTGTGGATGGTATCAAACAAGCAGGAAGACAGGGTGTACAGCTGGTCAGAGTCAGGCCCCAAGGGGATGGAGCGCTCTGAGGACATTAATACAACAGCAGTTGAATCTGACCTTGAACCCCCAGGAACATGTGTGTGCGTGTGTGCACACACACACGCACACACAGAGGTGGGGAAGACCTGACTGAGCCAGGTTTGTGTGAACAGACGTTGGGGTTTTGTGAAGGAGCCACTCTGCGATGCAAAGGACAAGCTGTGTACCCTTTCTGGGCCATTTCCCAGTATGACTTAACCCCTCAGAGTGCTAGCGGCAACTTGAGAGAAGAAAAGGAGGGACAGGGCCAAGACTGGGGGCAGGGGAGAGAAGCTCTGGCTCACTGCCCAACACACAGCATGCCTCAAGAAGGGAGTTCTTGGCCAGAGTAAGTTGGAGAGGGAGAAAGTTGAAATCTGTGCAGAAGATGGCAACAAGCTAGAGAAAGCACTAGTAGATTTCCCCAGGAGGGTTTGAGAAGCTCCACAAAGCTTTCCAGGCTGTGAAGACACAGTTTCATGTGTGAATCAACTAACAATCCTATAGGGCAGAGGTCACTCCATTGCATAGATGAGAAAAAGAAGGCTGGAGGGTTTAAGTCACTGTGCAAGATTAATACAGGGAAGGGGTTAAGAGACCAGAATCTAAGATCTAAATGCTTGTGTTCAAATACTGACTTTGCCACTGATTCACTGGGAATCTTGGGCAAAGTACTCAACTTCTGTCTCTGTTTTCTCATCCATAAAATGGGAATAGGATAATACTTACCTCATACTATTGTTGTAAGGAGTAAATAAGATAATTCATGGAAAATGCTCAACATGGTCTCCCGAATGTGGTGACCACAGTACCGAGTAACCCATCACCAGGAGAGCTGGCCCAGGTGTGCTGATTCCAAAGGCAGTGATGGGGCCACCAGCCTGGGCTCGGCAGGAAAGGAGGAGAAAGGCCCAGGATGCTATGGGGGTTTGGAGGAACAGTGTAGGCAGAACCATCCTTCAGGGTGTCCCAGCTGAGGGAAGAGAGCCTATGGTCTGAAACATTTATGAGACTGATCCAGATCCTTAGGGATTATGGAGAGATTCTGGGAGGGGGGCTGATAGGGCTGGTACTGGGTGCCAGCTAGCTCCGCAGTTCTGACCTTGCCCCCCACCTGCCAGGGGAGCTTGGCTGCCCTGGGTAGGTGTGGGGCCCCATTAAGTCCTCTGAGCCTGATCCTTCAGCTGTGGCCACCCTGTGCCAAGGAGTGGAGGGAGGAGGGGCGTGGGCGGGATGGGAGGTGGGAGGTGAGCCTGAAGACACAGGCTGGCACAACAGGGCTCTGGACACTGCACTGGCCAGCGCTTCTCCAGGTTCACCTGTCTGTCTGTCCTTCCTCCTCTTCCCAGAAGGTAACTTCCGAGTCTGTAGACAAGAGGGGAAGATGAAGGAAGACTGTCCGCCCAGTTCTCACGTCCCCATCAGCGACAGCAAGTCCATCCTGAAGTAAGGCTTTGCGTACAGGGAGGGGATCTTCTTGTGGCCACTCCTTGCCATGGACAGACTTTGGGTGGAGGGTAGTCTGGGCACCTTTCATAGAGCTGATGATGTGCCTGCTCCAGGGACAGTGATGGGGGCACTTCTTTTCAAAGCCTGTCTCCTTGGAGATCAAGGATCTCTTTGGGGTGTGGGTTTGACCCCTGCCTCCTCAGGCCCACAAAGGCAGGAAAGCATGGCAATGTGCGCCATGACTCTGCACAGATGGCATTTAATTGATTCAAAAACTAGAGCAATTCTAACATTCTTATCATGTTCAACAGTTTAGAGGGGGAAAAGAAAAAAACTCAAAATAGGTTTGGAGTTTTTACTGAAAAAAGTGCATTTTATTGACATTATAATTTTTAGCTCTGCTTATTTTTAATTTTATTTACTATCTGTCTTACCATAAAAAATGTTTAGAATAGTTTTTCAAATTTATTTCTCAACTAAAGAAAAGTGTATTTTTTATGTTATCTTGCTTTCTGAGTCCTGGAGTCCAAATCTTTTCTAAATTTGGGCAGCTCCTATCTGCCATGTTGAAGACAAGCCAGCCTTCTAGCTTTCACTGACCTCCTTTCTGGGTCCCCCTCTCAGAGACCTGAGAAAACAGACAGCACTCCATGCACAGTGCTGTCCACACCATCATTTTCCTGGTTTAAATTTTATAATGAGGGCACCTGGGTGGCTCAGTCGTTACGCGTCTGCCTTCGGCTCAGGTCATGATCCCAGGGTCCTGGGATCAAGTCCCACATCGGGCTGCCTGCTCCGCGGGAAGCCTGCTTCTCCCTCTCCCACTCCCCCTGCTTGTGTTCCCTCTCTCGCTGTCTCTCTCTCTGTCAAATAAATAAATAAATTAATTAATTAAAATAAATAAAAAAATAAATTTTATAATGAGAATCATATTAAATACAACTTTGGGAAACATCATAATCATAACCATAACATGATTGATTTCATGTATAGGTGTCCTACCAAATTTATGTTCAGCATTTACACACTTACAGTCACGGTGAATGTGCAGCATTGACTCTTGCTGTGTTAATGGCATCACATTCACTGAATCACAAGTGCCTCACTTCCCCTGTCAGGTACCATCACCCCCACATCGGGAAGCACACTCGAGCACCAGCAGCAGGTGTTGCTCCTCCATACCCTGGAGGGCTCTAGTGTCAGGGAAGGCACTGCCTGAAGAGATTCTAGAGCAGGACTGTCCGGTAGGGGAGCCATGAGCCGCGGTGGCTGCCAAGCGCATGACTTACAGCTGGAGAGGAGTAGTGACTATAAAAGACAAGTAGCAAACACTCATTACAAAATAAAATAATGAACAAGATCTCATTAGTAGTTTTTATATTGATTCCATGTGGACATGATAAAATTTTAGATACATTGTGCGATAAAACAAAATGTATTATGAAAACTAATTTCCCCTGTTTTTTTTTTCTTTGTAACATGACTACTAGAGGATTTAAAATTACATGTGTGGCTCATGTCTCTTATGTACGGGACTGCATGCCCCTGCAGAGCCCCACTGGGGTGCGGGGACTCTCTTCTCTCTGCCACAGCCTCCCTTTATTCCGGGGAGAAGACGTTTTGGGCACAGACTTTCAGGATCTTCTCTCACAGCTGTCAACTTCATCTCTTGATCACACCCCCATAAAGGCAGGACGAGGAAGAAGAAGGCACCCCTCATGGTGCCCCCCACAGCAGCCGCACCAGGCCCTTATAGGAAGTAATATGGGGGAGAAAAGCAAGAGTCTTGAAAATGCTAATAATCCAATCTCAGGGGATTTATTGAGGATGTGACTCAGAAGTAAAGCACAGGGAGATTGTCAGGACCTCTGATCTGTGATAGTGAAAGTGTGCACACACAATTTGTACAGTTCCATGGGCTGTCTTCGAGTTTCTCTTCGCTCTCTTCCCAATCCTACACCTTCCACAAGGGCTGACATGTGAAACCTCTAGAAGACTGAAAGGCGTGTGTCTGATGGCAGGGTCTAGTCTCTAAACTGAGTGTGTGTGGCTGGCAAGACATCTGTCATTATGTCCCAAAGCCCTGCCACGCCCCAAGATTATTATGTGTGTCTTTACCTTTTTAGGTCGGAGCTCTTAAGCTTGCTAAAAACTTACAACTGCTACCATGAGGGCAGAAGCTTTCAGCTGAGACACCGAGAGGTAAGGCCTGTTTCTCTTCTTTATTCATAGGCCACCATCTCTCCTGGTTTGCTGAAGACGGTCCTGGTTTATACCTGTTACTCCAGGGCCATTATTAAGACCATTCTCTTCACTCTCAGAAGTGTCCCAGTTTGGATAATGAATTATGAGGTTGCCCATTTTCTGAGTTAGAGACCAGGTTACCAGCAGCCAGGCCATCTCCTTGGAGGTCCTGTAAGGGGTGCTGAGGGTCAGAGCATCCCCTCCCCGCCACACCCAGCAAGAGTTCAGAGCAGGTAGAAATAATCGCCTGTGGGTCTTCTTCCACCTGGGACTTTTGCCGAGATGAACCGCCAGGACACTGGAATTTGAAACCTTCGAGACTGCACAGCCCAGTCCCTTCTCTGCCCATCCCACAGCACAAATAAGGAACTCAACACGGGGCTCTGGTTTGCCCAAGGTCACAGGGCAATCGAAAAGTGAAAGCAGTCTCCGTGTTTGTCAGTCAGAATAAACATCAGAGGAAAGCTTTGAAATGGAGGAGAGCTCCCCAAAGGGGCCAGGCAGCTCAGAATGGGAGAGGCAGGGCAGGCTTGGGGAGCGGAGGACGCCGGAGAGCACCGTCCCGACTGCAGACGCTGCTGTGCAGGAACGTGGGCTCCAGAGAGCCAGACTCTTCCTAATTTTTCAAAAGAAGTTAGATATCTGGAATTTCATGTGGAATTTCCCAAACCTCAAAACACCATGCTGGCTGAACAAAACACGTCCGTGGGCACAACAGAGCCCAGGCCTGGCTATTGTCACGAGGCTCGGGAGCCTGGGTGGGAGGGAAGCTGCTGGCTCGTGGTCCAAGGCAGCACGGGGCCTGGGAGGGCACACGCCTCCCAGGCCACCTCCCCTGGGCCCGCTCAGCCCACACAGGGCCTCGGTCCCCTCCCGCTCGGCCTGGCCCCACTCTTCATTCTGCAGAGCAGCTCTCTGACACCTGTCTCACCAGCCCCCTGCCGCCCTGCTCCTCACTGTTGCCCCCCGGGGCTCTGACGCCACCCCCCTGCTATCTCTGGTTTTGCTGCTTCTTTTCTTACCTGAGTGCCTGGCTGGTTTTGGGCACTGGGCCAGGCACAGCGCGCCAACCCAACATAGGTGTTGGGTGACCAACCAGCAGGCACAGTCCCAGGGCAAGCTGAGATGGGTCCTGAGCACTGGACAGTTTTGATCTATGCTAAGTGCGGAGTTGGACCCACCACAGTTGTTGTGCTGGAGGCGTGCGCTGGGGTCTTCTGGCTGGGCCCTGTTCCTCAGCCCTGGGCCGTTCGGTGATTGATCGAAGACTTGGCAGCTCTCAACCTGGGCTCTGTGCACCGGCAGCCTCAAGGTCACCTGGGACTGGTGAGAAATGCAAATTCTTGTCGCCCTCCTGCCCCCAGGCCTGCTGAATCAGAAACTCCTTCTGTTCCCATCTGTGTTTTAACAAGCCCTCCAGGGGACTGTGATGAAGGTCCAGTTTGAGAATTGCTACTCTAAGAGCTTGGTCTTGGCCCTTGGGATTCCCCAAGATAATCCCCTCTGTTGGAACAGTCGTGTGGGGAGTAGGGCTGGGAAGCCCCAACCCTATGCCCTGTGTTTGTGTGTGACAGGAGAGTCCATGTAGAAAAGTGAGAGACCCCAAAAAGGGGAAGAGGTGTTCCTGACAGCCCCTGTGGTAAGAAGTTAACACCCCACAGACGGGGGTTTTCCTATTCCTAACCTTAAAGAGGGATAAGGATCTGACTTGATCTCCCGGGAGCCAGAAAGTACCTTTCAGGAAACTTCCTCAGCCTTAACAGCCAAGAGGCACCAGCCTGCAGGAGTATGCGTCTTCAGGGGGTGACCACCACCACAAAGGCACTGTAGGCCTGGGCAGCACAGAGTTCTGATGCTGAAATGCATGACTGATTCCTGGACACCGAGTGCCTCCGTGACCCACCCACCCCCCTGTGTTCAGGCCTCTGTGGTTTCTCAGAACGCAGACCCAGGACCTCCTGGGCCTCGGGGACTCGCAGTTCAGGCACCTGCCGCAGGGCCAACCCCAGGCCAGCCTCTCATCAGGCACTGCGGGCCCTGAGGGCAGGGCAGACAGGCACCAGGCACAAGGCACTTCACCCCTCTGTTCTTCACTGTAATACAAGAGCTGTGTGACATGGGAATGGCCATATTCCAGACAAAGAGATTGAGGCTGTCAGAGTTTAAGTCTCTCCTGCAAGGTAACACTGCAGTAAGTGGAAGATGCCAGCATGGCTCCAAGGCCCGAGCACAGAAGTTTGTAAGACAGTGACCCATTACCAGCATTAAGCTTTGACCAGCCTCAGAGACGCAGGGAGCTGTTTGTCACCTCCAGTCACCGAGCTAAGGAGCCGTCCAGCTGCAGAGAGGCTCAGCACAGGCTGTGCCCTCGCAGAGCCACGTGGGGCTCCAGAAGAGACTCCGCTCCCTGCTGTCACTAGGCCTCCCCCCAAGCGACAGTGGCCTGACTGCTGCAGTTTGGGGACACCTCCTCCTCCACGGTCCTTTCCGGGATCCACAGAACGTGGGACGATGAAGTGTGTCAGGGAGCAGGGCCATGCCCTGGGGCAAGTGTTTCCCCACGAATTCTCCCCCAGCTCCCAAAGGGCGAGGGATTTCCCATACTAGCTTCCTCTATCGGAGGAGGCCCAGGCACTAGCCTCCTCTATCGGAAACTCTGCCTTGTGCTTATATTACAAAGGAGAGCCTTTTGAAGATAGCAAATCATTTTTTTTAAAGATTTTATTTATTTATTTGAGAGAGAGAGAGAATGAGAGATAGAAAGCACGAGAGGGAAGAAGGTCAGAGGGAGAAGCAGACTCCCCGCTGAGCAGGGAGCCCGATGCGGGACTCGATCCTGGGCCTCCAGGATCATGACCTGAGCTGAAGGCAGTCGCTTAACCAACTGAGCCACCCAGGCGCCCGATAGCAAATCATTTTAACCAGGCTGTTTGGTTGCTCGAGAGAAAAACCGACCACCCAGAAATACCGGTGGGTAAATACGTCCCTGTGATGAGAAGTAGGACCCTCCTGTTGTGCACCAGCGCGTGGCCCGCTAAGGGAGCTGGCCTCTCGTGCTCCCCCTGGTGGCCGTGAGCCCACATCACACCCAGTCCCCATCCTTGGTCCCAGGCTCCTGCACAGAGTAAGAAAGGGAACGAGCATCCCCTCACTCAGGGTCTCTGCCTCTCCCAGGGTGGAGAAAGTCAGGATCCCCTTCCTTCTTATAGTGATCCCCCATCCTCCCCTGGAGGCAGGTTGACGGGCAGTTGACAGACCACTGGCACCCGGGTGTACTCGGCCGTGGACATGTTCCCTTGAGAGCTCCCAAGTGCTTCCCAGGCTACCGCCTGGTCAGAGCACTGCATCCTTTCCCTACTCCAGGGGTGAGTAAGGAGGAGACTGCTCTATAGGACCCCTATCACGGGGACTTTCTGCTAGGCTGTTCTGTCCCGTGGGAAGCTTGGAATAATGCCAGAAGCCCCTTCCCCCTGCCCTTTATTCTTTTTTTTTTTTTTTTTTTTGCATTTCCTGAAGGTGCCATTAGCTTCTTTCACATCAGGGGAGATGAGCAGAGGAACCCAGAGCCCTGTCTGACCTCCCAAATGCAGCCGTGTGGCTTTTGAGCTTGCAGGGGGTGGGGGGGATCGGCCAACCTCATCTTAGTTGCCTCCTTCTGACCCAATTTCACACAGCTTCGCAGAGGGGTACAGTAAGGCAAGCCCAGCCCAGTCACCAGCCAGCACCCCCTCCCAGGTCAGCCCTCCCCGCTGCTTCCTAAGGGTGTTCCGGCTAAAGGCCGCCCCACACTTATTTGCCAGCAAAGGTGAGGGATGGGCAGGTTTGAGCAGGCCAGGGACACAGCGGGTTGTGATGGATGCAGGCACTCCTCTGCAGCATTTCTACTCCATCTCCAAGGGCATGTGCCCCATTCCTCAACCCCTGCAAGCTGTGAAGGGCAGGGGTGGTGTCCCCATTTTACAGATAAGGAGACTGAGTAAATTACTTGTCTGACACTTTTAAATGTATGGCTTATGTTCTGCCTTCCTACAAAACACACATAAAAGGGGGCCAATAAACATTTTTTTAAAATGCAAAACAGTTTTAAAATAGAAAAAAAAAGGAAAGGAAGAAGAAAGGAAGAAAATAGTTGGGTAGCCCTCAGAGCAAGGAGATGGAGGAGACTGAAGCTGGCTGTGAGCTTGGCTGTGGACCCAGCTCAGTCCTCCCCTCCCCTCTGTTCCGCCCTGACCAGGGCCGGCCAGCTCTGACCTGGCCCGAGGGAACAGGGTGATGGGTCCTCAGGCCTGATTCTTCTGAGTTCTCCGATGCCTCACCTGCCTCTCTGAGGACGAAGACCCTCCCTCGCCCCTATTCCTCACCTCCATCTCCCTCCCTGTCAGATGGCTTCCGGCGCTGGGCTTGGAGGAGCCAGGGCTGGCCCAGACCTTAGGACCTGGGGATGGAGGCCCTGGCCACTGGACTTGCCTGAGAGCAGGGCAGCTGACCAATAGCCTGCACTTTGCCCCACAGCCGAGAAGCCCCCTGGGTGGAGAGAGCATGGGGATGGTAGGGACAGGGCCACCAGTCCCCATGGTTTGGCACCCTGCCTGCTGAGCTGGTCTGGGGTCTGTCCTGGCCCTCAGCACAGGCAAAACTCTCCCAATGACACAACAGGACTTGTGAGCTGGAGCCACAGAGATACCCCAGGTGATCCAGTGACAGGTTCCCCCCCGACACTCAGCAGGTACATTTGGGGAAACTGTATGTTTCCTCTTGGGCTGCATGGAGCCCGGGCTCTGGGGGTGGGGCCAGGAGGCTGACCTGGGAGAGCGCAGGCCTCACTCTGAAATCCCTGTGTGGCTGAGAGCTTCGCTTCTCACCCGCCACCGACCTCACATCCTTGCCTGTGAAGCAGTCACATAGACATGGGTATAAGCCTGCGTGCGGGCTTGTAACATGCACCCCATGATGAATGTGAGCATTTACTCATCAGAACAGCCTAGAAAGCAGGTCCCTTTAATTACCCCCATTTTACCCACGAGAAAACCAACAAACAGAAATGTTAAGTAACTTGCCCAAGGCGCTCAGCCAGCAAGGAACAGTGCAAGCAGGATCAGTAACACCACATGAGGCCAGAAAGGCTGTTCTCACTCTTCAGGGTGGGGGAGTGCCTCGCTATGAAATGCCCAGGCAGGCAGCCCCTGCAGAAAGGTGTTTCCCTCTTGGAGACCTGCCAGGGACAGTCCCCACCCCAGGGGAGGAGGGTGAGGAGGTGACACAGACCAGCGTACTCTGTACAGAAGGCTTTATTGGGGAGGGGTTAGAGTTCATGGATCACTGGGAGTTGCAAATAGAGAGTTCTGAGGGTGCTGCTGGGGCGGGGAGCTGGGGGGGAGGCCATGGCCCCACAGAGTTGCCTGGAAGCCCCGGAGCCCTGGTGCCAGTCCCTTGAGGGTCTCACCAGAGAGTGCCCTTGCACCCTGGCATCCCAGAGTCTCCCTCTGGGGGTCCCTCGGGCCTTGCCACTGTCCATCTGTCTGTGTAGACCCCAGGAGTCAGCAGAGAAGCCAGTCCTCCTTGGCGGGTCCCTCCTACTCGGCCGCTTTTCCTGGGACTCCCCAAAGAGCCAGTCCAGGGGGTCGGTAGTGCCGTCCCCAGGCGGTGTCCGTTGCTGACCCCTGAAGCAGGTAGTAATGTCCCGTAGGGACTCAGTAGGGCAGCTCTTCTGGAAGGTCCGGGCTGGCCGGGGGCTTCTGCTGGGCTGGGCCCTGGCTGTGGCCACATCCAGCACTGAAGTGGGATGTGCCAGCTGACAAATGGACTTCACGTAGTCATCCAGGCTGGGGGAGGCCGGGGGCTCCTGCCCGGGCCCCCCGGGCAGCATCTCCTCCAGGGTCTCCTGAATTGTGGGCAGGTGGGCCACGGGAAGCAGTAGCCGAGACCTCATGGCCGTCGGCGAGGCGGGGCGGAGACCTGTTGATCGACAGAGGACCGGGGTTGAGGGTCTGCCGTTCTGTCACCCCTCTGTGTCCCCTCTCTCAGCGGAGGCTGCCCGGGGGATTCACGGGCCTGAGAGTGGAGTGAAGTCTGCGGACCCAAGCCCGGGCTCGGCCTCCCGGACTCTTCCTTCCTGCCAACGCTGAAAGCCTCGCGCTTAAGACTCTATCCTTACTGTTGTTGAAGAACCCACACAAATCAGACAGCCCGGCCTAACGGGCTGGAGTCAGAGGGAACCTGGGTGTAAAACCAGCCTCTGCCGCTTCCTGACCTGGGGACCGTTGGCGAGGTCACCTCTCCAAGCCTCCCCTGACCCGTCCATAAAACAGGGTTATAAGTACCTGCTGGAAAGGGTGTTGTATGAAACGCATGGAATGAAATCCCTCTACGAATGCGAAGCCCTCGGAGGCTATTATCCCTGCCATTGACTGCATGCCCTGGTCTCTAACCCGCAGTGAGGCCCTGTTCGTCCTCAAAGATAAACAAAACCTTTCTGTTGCATCTGTAACCAGAGGGAAGCTGCTCTCCCTTACCTGTAGCTGAGGGAACCTGGGCATCACAGGGCTGCCGGGTGAGCAAGGACAGTCCTTGGGAAGGCCCAGGGAGTTCGGGGCCGAGAGTTGGGGGCCCCGCAGTCAGAGCCCCGCGTCCAGCGTTGGCGTGGCCAGGAGATGCACGGGGAGCGTGACGGTGGGGCTGCTGCCCGGCATGCAAGCCTCCCCGAGCTGTCTGGTGGACCCAGAGGCCCGGCAGCTGCTTTTATACTTCCCCGCCCGCCATCAGTCACTGTCACGCGGGCCAAAAATAGCAGTGCCCAGGAAGGCTCTCGGAGGGAAAACAACGTGGCGGGCGGGCTTGGGCCGGCCGCCAGCCCGGAGCCAGCGGGAGCCGTGGGAGGCTCCGGGGTTGTTTACCCTCCGGGGCAGGGGAGGGGCTGCCCCGCTCCTGCCAGCTCAGCCCCAGGAGAGGCAGGGGCCTCCAGTGAGGAGGGACGTGTTCACTGGGACTCAGAATCAGAGGGCCCAGAATGGCTTCCCGACTTAATGGAAATGTGAGGCTGTGGGACCCAGATTCAAGTCCTGCCCCGGCCTGCATGCCCTTCCCCACCTGTACGGCGAGGGCCACCCTGGAGCCTGGAGCCTGGAGCTCCTTCTGCTCTGCCCTCAGTTTCCCCTGCTTTGACCAGAGACAGCTGCAGACTTGGCAGGGCCTCCCCTCCATCCCGATGGGGCCAGGCTGAGGGACAGAGGAAGAGTGGTCGGGGGGGGGGCAGCTTGGGGGCACACGCGCCATCTGTGTAGGGACACGGGGCCCGAGTCACATCAGGCCAGCAGACCCCAGTGTAGCCGATCCCTGACCTCAGAGGCAGCAACTCTGCTCCTGCCCCTGGCTCCCAGTCCCAGGGCAATTCCTCCTGTCTCCTTCACTGCAAGGTCTCCAGAGACTTCCGGTGGCATGTTTGAAGGCCCAGCCTCAGCGTGTCCAGCCCCACTGCCCCTGGCCCAGTGGTGCTGTCTTCTCCTGCCCCTCAGAGCTCTAAATGATCTCCTGACTCTCGTACCCAGGACCGTGACTGCTTGATCTCCCTCCACACAGGGTCAGACGTGGGGCTGGCAGGCAGTGGGGCTCCGTGAATGAACTTGCTGAGCTGCCGGGTGAGGCGGGGGGCTCTCTCTCTCGCAGTGTGTTGACCTCTTTTTTTTTTTTTAAGATTTTTTTTTTTTAATTTATTTGACAGAGTGAGACACAGTGAGAGAGAGAACCAAGCAGGGGGAGTGGGAGAGGGAGAAGCAGGCTTCCCGCAGAGCAGGGAGCCAGATATGGGGCTTGATCCCAGGACCCTGGGATCACGACCCGAGCTGAAGGCAGGTGCTTAACGACTGAGCCACCCAGACGCCCCGCATGTTGACCTCTGAGAGAGGCATCTGAGGCCAAGACAGAAAACAGAGAACCAAACCCCACTTTGGGGTTTCTTACTGCCCTTTAACTCCAGGGAATCAATCCAGTCTTAACTTTGTAGGGCGCGTTAGTTACATGTCTGTGGCTGTGTAACTTCAGTGGTCATCAAAAAGTGCTCTACTTTTATTGATGTCATTTTCTTTTTTAACAAACAGTGCAAGGTCATTCCAGAAAGCTATGTGTATTTTTGATAACCTTGAACAGAGTGGAACTATTTTCTCTGTGGATAGCAGGGTGTTTTAAGCGATTACTAACTTACCATGAAATCAATGCTGCAGGATACCTCTGTAAGCCCTTCTGGGGATACAAAGACGTTTCCACAAGGTCCCTTATTCTCACAAGGCTTTCAAAGCCTGTAAGGAGAAAGAAATGCAATTTGTAAATCTAAGGTGGTGCTCAAGATAGCAATGGGAGTATAACACCCAGTGCTCAAAATATATTTATGTATATATATATATACACATAACAACGGGACAATGATGTTTAACGTGCATTGCCAAAAGGCTAGTATCAAAGCAGCTTAGGAGCAGGTAGCTGGAAAGATCTGGGGAAAGTGGGGCTGAGAAGATGTTCTGAAAGCAGCCTGGCCAGGCACACGCGTGGGGCAATTCGGCTGGGCGCAGAGAGCCTGGCTGTGGTCACGCATACATAAGAGCCTGAAAGAGGTCAGAAACAGAATCAAAGACCGGAGGGGTGGGAGGGGAAACTGGCTGAGGGTGCCCCTGGAGAGTTCTGTCAATTAGGACCTCAGGGCTTGGCAGGAGGGTGGTAGCTGTGGCACCTGCAGACCTTGGGAGATCAAGGCTGCTTGGGGACACAGAACAGAGCTGTTGTAGCTATTCTGAGTGTTCATGCCAGTAGTGGAATGTGGAGGCTGGTAACGTGCAGGTGGTGAGAAAAGCAAGACCGGCCCTCAGGAAAGAAGGCAGCTTAGAAATCGGGGTGGGCCCAGGCCACTCGAGTGGTTCCTGTGGCAACTGGGAGCAGTGTGGGGAGAAGGGCGGGGCTGAGACACAGCTCCAAGGAGTAGCCACCCCTGCTCTGGTGGGCGTGGAATCCAGTGCCCTCAGCACACGCGTAGCGGGCCCTGGTGACCGTGGGGCCCCCTCCCCAGGTGCGGGAAGGCATCCCTACCTGGCACCAGTGTCAGTGTGGCCTCCTTCTCTGGAACGTTTCCTCACCCATGTGGACGTGCTTGCTGGAGAGCAGCTGGGTTCCTGTGGGGCGCCTGACTCAGCCGCTCCGTCCCAGGCCATGCCCCTGACCAGACGTGAACTGAGCGGTGGAAGGGCACGCCTCAGGCTTCCTCTGGTCAGCCCCATGGCCTCACGCCTTGGAGCACATAGAGGCTCATGTGCCTTCCCCCAGGGGAGGACAGGACCCCAAGGAGGAGAGGTGTGTTTGGGGCAAGAGTGTTCAGGGGAGTCCCCTGGGGGAGGGGCTGGGCCTTAAGGGGGACTCGGGGGGGGGTGGGCAGTGACCCCTGAGGAGGGCTGCTCTGGGGAGAGAGGCTAGCCTGTGTGAGTTCCCCACAGGAAGAAGGCGCTTTGATCATCGAGGGACTTCTCAACATTGCCTGGGGACTGAGGCGGCCTATCCGGCTCCAGATACAGGACGACAGGGAGCGAGTGCACCTCTCCTCAGCCTCCTGGACACCCGGACAGCCCGGCTGCCCCCTGTGAGTGCTGGGCTGGCTGAGGCAGGGCCAGGTGCCCTCCTTGACACCGGTTGAACTCGTGCTTACTGTTTGGGGTGTCCAGGGTGTCAGCCCTGCTCCCGAATGGGGCACATGAGAGCACAAGCCCGCCCTATCCTTGTCACCCCGTGACTGCCTACGCCTGTGGCCTCACCTGCCAACAGTGGTCTTTCTAGATGATGGCCGAATCATCTCACTCTTAGAGAATTTTCCAGACTCCCAACACCAGTTGTGTTTCTCATACATTCACAGGAGCTGCCTTATCTGCAAGGAAAGGAGCTGTGGCCGGGGGGGCTCCCAACATCCTGGGCAAAACAAACATTTCTTGGCATCTCCTGTTCTACCTTAAAAATTCACACAAATTTAACCTCCTGCTGCTCTACTTTCATTTTAATATCAGAATTTGTTTTTATAAATTTATTAGAGCTTAATATCAGGTTTATTTTAATATCAGAAATATGTTCTAATCGTGATGAAACCGTTTCCTACCTTACTGCTTAATGAACATCTGCCTCCTCCCAGCGCCTCCCCCCCAATAAAGGGCAGTGAGCTGCTGAGTATTGATCGCTTCTGCATGTAATGAATCCTTCCAAGAGGCGAAAATGCGAAACCTTTTCCCTTCAAAAATTCAAGCAAAGTTGCTGTTCTGAGGGCACTTAGGGCACCTTGCCACCTCCCGTGCATCCCATACAGACTTAGAGTATAACATTTGGACGGGCTTCGTAGAAAGGCGACGAGTGGGACTCATGGTCCCACTCCCCAGGGGGGAAGCAACTACAGGAGCGGTCAGACAGCAGGACCCTCAGGGGCCTCGCAGCCTGGGTTCAGCTCTTCGCCAGCCCCTTCCTGGCTCCCTCATGCTGTGGGCTACTTCTCATCACACACATCCCCTTCTCCGGCCTGGCACCAGCTTCCCTGGCTTGGACTCCACCCGGCCCAGAGGCCCAGAGGTTGGCCCCTCGAGGTTGCCTCTGCCTGACTCTCCATCAGGCCTGAGGGAAGCCCGGAGAGCCTGCTCAGCACTTGGCCGCACACACTGCCTCCCTCAGCCTGGTGCCCAGGAGTGCATGGGCACACGGCGTGTGTCCGTGTGTCTGTGCAGCAGGGACAATGCCACTCAGGTCGGCAGGGCACACTCCCTCTCCTTCCGGCAGACACCCTGGCAATCCTTCGCTTTTCTTTCAGTGTTTTACATTAACTCGGTGTGAAGTAGAGCCTTACCTCGGCCGGCCCTGCTTCTTGCCTGCGTCCCATCCTCAGAGGCCACCAGCCTCTTCTCTGTGACTTGAGCTACTTCTTTCTGTCAGCAGCTCTTTGAGCACCTTGACTGTCTTTTCAGAAAGGAGCCACTTCTTCAGGATGGCAGGGTCCCTGCCCAGGAGCCAAGGACTCAGACAGCACCCAGGGCCGAGAGTTCCAGAGACAGCTCAGGTAAGTGGGGCCTCAAGCTACCTGGGACCCCATCTCTCTCAGCCAGGGCAAGGGGCTTGGCTAATGACCACCATCTCTGAAGAACAGCTTTGTGTTGGGGCACCTGGCTGGCTCAGTTGGTGAAAGTGTCCAATGCTTGATTTCAGCTCAGGTCGTGATCCTCAGGGTTATGAGATCAAGCCCCAAGTTGGACTCCATGCTGGATGTGGAGCCTGCTTGGGATTCTTTCTCTCTCCCTCTCCTTCTGCCCCCCCCCCCAGCCTTTTTCTCTCTTCCCCTCTCTAAAAAAGAAAAAGGAAAAAAGAAAAAAGAAAGACCAGCTATGTGGAGGAGCGCAGAGTGGCTTTATTTGTCTTCAGGAGCAACACTTGCTAAATACCTCCTCAATACAAGGCATTCTCCTCAGCTCCCCACTTACAGAAAAAGGAAGCAGAAGCTTGCAGAGGTGACATTGTTTGACATAATTTGCCTGAGTCCCCTTCTTTATAGAAAGGAGAGAATAGCAACAGCAAGCATGGCACCCTCCTGGGCCTGTGGGCCTCTAGGATGCATCTTCCTCACACTCTGGAGTCCAGACTGCTCATCTGTCCTCTTCATGTCCTCCCCTCACACTCAGTGGGGGCTCAGAGGACAGGGATGGGGCTGCCGAGGAGCTGCCCAGGCGCCCAGAGACGGAGGCCCAGACCGTGGCCATACGGCATTGTGACACAGGTGGTCGGGTCTGGGGGCCCCCTTTCCTGTCTGCGAAGTGGGCATCACCCAAGCCCTGTCACAGAAACAGCATTCACATCACCCTCTGCCGCAGTGGGGTGTGACCACAAAGCTCCAGGGAACCAAGCCCCACGCGCCGCATGACCGACGCAGCACGGCAGTTCTCTGGCCCCTTTGCTCCGACCCGGACTGACCTTCTCACCTGTTCCTCACTACAGAGCCCCTGGAGGAGGACGAGGAGACCCCTCAGCTGATGCGGACCAAGAGTGACGCAGCTTGTGTGATCCAGAGGAGGCCCCGGGCCCGCGCACCCGGCGAGGCCCAGAGGATCCGGCGACATCGCTTCTCCATCAATGGGCACTTTTACAACCACAAGGTGATGTTCCAGCCTGGCATCTCCCCTGGGCCCTGAGGTTGAGGCCACAGGGAGGCGGCCCCAAGCACGGGTGCAGCTGTTGGCCTTCTGAAGGCCAGGCCCCACCATAGTCTTGTCAGAGGTCACCCTCACCATGGCCCTGTGTGCTGGTGTGTCATATCTGCGTCCTCACCGATAAATGGGCTCAGGAGGAGAAATAGCTTGCCCAAAGTCACATCAAACTAACAAACAAACAAACAAAAAAACCCCACAAAACACATTCCAGCTGGTGACCCCAAAGCCTGTTGTTGGGTTTGTTTTTTTGTTTTGTTTTGTTTTTTTACCACATACTCACTGTCAACCCATTTTCACAAGTTGCATGGATTTTTGGAAAGTAATGCCAAGTTTATGTCTAATTAGGCAATTTTCTCTGAGGTTTCCACCCGAGCTCGACAGATGGTTTCATGGGAACGTGATGTGCTGCTGGCCTTCTCCCTGGGTAGAGTAAGCCCTAGGTTGAGGTGGGTCCAGGGGCACGTGTTTCTGGGCCCCAGAGAACCCGCGCTACTCCTGGTTCCCAGCACTTAGCCTTTTGTCCGAGTATGTATTGTACTGACCTGAGGAAAAGATCTCCTTCCCCAGATGACTTCAGTCCCTAAACAAACCAAACTGTAAAAGGAGAAGTTGATTGTTTCTATAAACACAGGAGTGGCAATTTGGGTGAGGCCCTGGATGGAGTGTCCTATAACAGGGCCACATCCTGCAGCACTGGGAAATGGAAGCAGAGGTTTCCAGTTGAAGCAGCTGCCCATCTTGATAGGCGATGACTCACAGGAGGGGGAGGGGGCCTGGCAAAGGCAGCTCTCAGGGTCAGACCTGAAGAACAGTTACACAGGTTAGGCCTGCCAGGGGCCATTAAAGTGCTCTGGGGAGTACCCTGGACTTTAGGGTGAAGAATTCAGCAAGGCAAGCAGAAGGGACCTTGCCTTACTAAGAGGACACCCTTCCCCCCGCCTTCCACTCTAGGCTAGGTTTGCAATGAACGTTCATGGGTGACACTAGGTGATCCTTGCTAAGTGCAGGGAAACCCAGGACTATTTGAGAGTAGTTTCCCTAGAGGGTGCAGGGTTGAAGTTAAGCAGAGATTAAGAATCGTTTAGATTAGCCAAAGGACCCATGATCTGACTTGGATATTCTTTAAAACTTGTTCCAAAGGGGTTTAATCTGTAAAGTGTTCAGTAAGTATATTAGCTATGTATATGCTATTTTGAGGAATTATTCAAAAATTTTAAAAGAATATTTGCATGAATTTAGTTTCTTCGTATTTCTATGATCCTAAAAAAGGAAGCTTTTGATCCATGACTCAAGGTAACAAATAGTGGAGCTTATCTCCAGCACATTTACCCCCTCCTCTAAGGGAATCACTCATCTCTAAGCACATTCAACCTTACTGTAGTCATTGCAAATGCCCCAGAGACATGGAGATGTCTGAGCACTCTGTAGCCTTTTGAATGAACAGAAATGAACAATGAGGACTTTTGTCACAGCTTTTTATCCATGGGAGGCACCCTGGCAAGAAGGGCTCCTCAGCCAGCTCGACACTCAACCCACTAGCCGGTAATCCAGTCAGAGCAGCTCTTTCTCCCAGTAACAGATTTACCTACAGAAAGTGGGTTCATTCTTCCAGGCAAACTGACTAACATCCAGGACGTGAACTAGTATCTTAGGCATGTTGGACAGCTGATTCCCATCTGCTGGCTGAGTAAGGGGCTCCTTCTCCCTCTTACTTGGCAGTCCACTCGGAATCAGTGTCCTGAGAAATCAGGTAACAAGGTACTTGAATCACAGGCAACAAGTTAAAAAAAATACCTAGAATTGACTTCCTGAGGTTGTTATTCTGGATTTTATTTCTTAGAACTGCACACTATTACTTCACTCAACCATTTTCCGAAACTATTCTGATTCACAGTGGTGCTGATGTGATTTTCAGACTCAGTAAAACTTGGTACCTGTCCCATTGCTTTGTTCTGGGCTGTTAGATTCAACTGTGTTCTACCAGAGAGAAACCATTGTGGTTAGAGATGGCAAAGCAGCCATGGGGCCTTTGTTCGTACTTGGAGCTGGTCAGCATCATCTTGAGAAAAGGCTCCAGGCAGAAGAAACACTAATAATGTCTTGTTGACAAGACCTTTCTTCTCCTTGAAAAGGCCTGACTCCTCTATTCCATATTTCTTGGGGACTGAAAGCCTAGTCTGGCTTTCTGTGTAACCCAGAGTCATTTGGCATGGTGACTATGGAGGAGGCAGGTCTGGGTTTGAGTCTGACTCCGGTACTTGGAGACACTGAGCAAGTCCTTCATATTCCTGAGCCCCAGTTATATCCTGGGGAAAGTAGAGCTAGGACCATAGAGGAGGAATGTGTAAATCTGAATTTAGTTTTGGAAAGTGAGGAAGAGCTCACCTCAGAGAAGTGAGAATCACAGGGTGATCTCAGTGCCACGGGTATAAAGCATGGGGTTTCCAATGGCTCTGCACTTCCTAGATGGGTGACCATGACAAGCTACTTGACCTCTCCAAGACTCTGTGTCCTTTCTTAAAAGGGTACTTCAAAAAGCTGTTGGAAGGATTAAATCAAAGATTTTAGGCGAAGTGCTTAGCAGGTCTATAACCTGGCTAGTGCTCATTGAGGACTTATTAAGCCTCAGATGATGCCCTGGTTGACTGTATATATGGTGTCTCACAGGCAAAGGCAAGATATCTGCAGGAGTATAATGCGCCCCCCCCCCCCACAACAGTGAAGAGCTTGTGTGGTTGGACCACAGGGCACTGGGGAGAGAAACGATGTATCACATATGCAGTGAGAAGAGGAAGCAATGGTATTGTTGAGGCTATGGGATGCCTTCAGATACTTCTAACTAGAACTATGCCAGAAGACAGTGCTTCTCAAATTGTACTGTATGGAGAGCATCATCTGGTGGTTTCCTAAAAATGCAGATTCTGATTCAGGAGTCTGGGGCTGGGAGCCAAGACTCTGTGCTAATGTAGCTGGTCCAGAACACACTTTGAGTTGCAAGGTTTTTGAAAGGTTGTTTCTTGGGACAGCAGTGTGGAGAATGGATGGAAAGCACTGAGATTGGAAGGGGAGAGAGGTGGGACGCTGATGCAGTATAAACTGAGAACCTCTACTGCTGGGAGAATAGGGAGGAGCAGACAGATTCCAGAACTTTCGGTCTTAGAATCAACAGACACTTGGCAATTTGAGCCAAAGAAAGAGTGAGAAGGAGACTGGTCCCCACACCTCCTGTGAAGTACTTCCATGGGACTGGCTCCTAGGGTCAGAGAACTGGCCCTGATAGTTTCAGAGGCATCTTTCTTACAGGCCTCTGTAAGACAGGAGTTGCTACGGCTTCCCCAAGTGCACCAGATGTGGGCAGAGCTGTGTGCGATCTGTGCTGGACAGGCACAGGTGCTTCCAGAGCCCAGGGTCACCTGTCACCCCAGACCATCTGGCTGACAGTGTGCCCAGACCCTGGGTGATGTCAGCTCCATGTCCCTCTGGCCCTGCCCTGAACAGCCCACCTCCCTCTGCAGACCTCGGTGTTTACTCCTGCCTATGGGTCCGTGACCAACGTGAGGGTCAACAGCACCATGACAACCGTGCACGTGCTCACCCTGCTGCTGAACAAGTTCCGAGTAAGTCTGGCTATGAGCGGGCTTGCCCCCGGATGCTGGCAGTTTGCTGTCTTGTTGGAGAAGCTGGCAAAGGCCAGGGAAGCTGCCTGTGGTTCCTGGGTTAGAAGGTCTAGCAAAAGTTTCCTCTACCGACGCGGCATCTCTAGGGATCTTAAGCAGAGAGAAGGGAGGATCCTTGGGGACTTGTGCGTGCAGCACTGGCAGTGTGGTTCTTGCTGGGGATCACTTCCTGTCTTGTCTCATAAAGCCCTGGTCTGACTTCCTGTTCCTGTCTGTACAGGTGGAAAATGGCCCCAGTGAGTTTGCGCTCTACATTGTTCACGAGTCTGGGGGTAAGTGTCTGCCTGTGCTTCCGGATCATAAAGACCAAAGTCTCTGTCCGTGTGGCAAGCTCACTGACCATGCTCCTTCTCTGAGGGCCACCGTGAATGCTCTGCCAGGCCCAAACCCAGGCATGCTCGCTGCCCCTTCCAGAATCCCACCAAACTCACAAGGGAGGCCACTGTCTTCGACCGCACTCAGTTGGGAAGGGTTGGGGGTGCACGTCAGGGGCTGTGAGCTGGAGCTGAAGCCCCTCACCCCCTGAGAACAGTTGCAGAACCCACATGTCCCTCTGTGCAGGGTTCCGCTCCATGGTAACTGAGCAGCCCGCCTCCCCGTGTCCACCCTCCCCTCTCTCCTACTCCCTGGGCTCCTGTTCCTCTCTGACCTGTCTTTGCTGAATGCCACAATCACACATCATTCAGGGCAACCTTCTCTTCAAGATCTGGAGAAGGTTTCCGGGCCCCCTGGACATCCATTTTCTACCACATTCCCATCCCGGAACAAAGAGGGGCAATCCTACTGCCCCATGAGTTTTGTAAATGGCCTTCTTTTTCAGAGCGAACAAAATTAAAAGACTGTGAGTACCCACTGATTTCCAGAATCCTGCACGGGCCATGTGAGAAGATCGCCAGGATATTCCTGATGGAAGCCGACCTGGGCGAGGAAGTTCCCCACGATGTGAGTCTGAAGATGAGCTTGGCCAGAGCCACGTGGAGTGGCGTCTCACACAGCTGTCCTAAAGGGCCCCAAGCCCAGCACAGGGATGGCTCCAGCCCTCCCTCCTCCTGTCAAGGACCACCAGCCCCAGCCACGGGCCTAGGGGGAAAAGGAAGTTGAGTCATAAAAAACCATTGCCTGTGCTTTCCCCCTCAGGCAGGTAGAAACTTTTCCTTTGTTAGAATGTGTTTGGCTGTCACTACACTAAAGACCCACACAAGGGCCCCTTAACTAGTGCCTACCCCGGGCCTGTGGAAGGGAAATATGGTTAAGTCCCACCATAGCCTGCGTCCTGGGCTAGGAAGAAGCATGTTGCCGAGCTCCCTTGCACGGAAAAGGCCTCTAGGGTTTGGACGCAAGGTGAAGGCCAGTGACCCTGTACCCTTGGAACCATTCACGGACTATCGCGGCTTCATTCCAGGGTTAGAAACAATGGTGTTCCCAGCGCTCCCCTCCCTCACCCCCGAGAAGACCCAGCATGGTTCTGCTCTCTACTGAATACTTTTCCTAATCTCCAGCTTCATCTTTCCTCCCAGGAATAATAAGCTGTGAGGCAAGAATGGGCTTTTCTGTCCTCTGTCCTAGTACAGACTGGGAGTTGGGCGTGGTGGGGAGAAGGGCAGCCATTTCCTTGGCTATAAGACATGGCTGAATCGACTGCTTGTGGAGGCCCTGAGGAAAAGAAAACACATTTTTGGCTTCTAATTTAAAGCACATTAAAATGTTCTTGGATTTTCTAGGTCGCTCAGTACATTAAATTTGAAATGCCGGTGCTGGACAGTTTTGTTGAAAAATTAAAAGAAGAGGAGGAAAGAGAAATAATCAAACTGACCATGAAGTAAGCAGCACATAAAGAGCCAGTCGTGGGTCCTGAACATCAGGGCAAGTGCACAGGGCAGAGCCCCCAGGCCGGGGCTGGGCAAGCTCTCCCCTCCTCCAGGGCACGACGCTTGGCCCGGCTCAGGGAGGCCTGCCCCCTGGCTCCCGGTAGTGAGGGCAAGCTGGGGTGACAGCCTGCAGAAAGGGCAGGAGGCAGGGCAAACCGCCCCTCTGGCTTCAGCACTTCCGCAGCACGGGAGGGGCGCCGCTGTTGAAACTGAGCTCGGGAGAGTCAGGCAGGAGCGCGGGTGGGCGCTGGACCAGGGTCATGAGCGCTACTGGTGACACAGCCCTGGAGGAGCAACCGAGGAGAGGGCCTGCTCAGGGCACATTCAGCCTGGTCTGGGCCTTTCCTGCTAGTGGGAATTCTCAGCCTGCCAAAAAGCAGTGGCTGTTGGAACCTTCTATGTCAGCTGGTCGTTTCAGGTGCGGGGGACGTGTTCAATGGAAAGGTGAGCAGGTGTCACCTGTGGGCTCCTTGGGGAAGCTACATCAAGGCCTGGCTGGGTGAGGCTAGCCAAGTTGCACCTGCCAATGACTGGCCTGTCCCTCTGCAGAGTGAAGGATGGGGTAGGGGAAACACCTGGGGCACTCAGCTGGGGCCAGGGTCGGAGTCCCCCTCAGGAAGGGAAGGAGGCAGTCTGCTCACCGTGAGAGGGCCTGCCGTCGGGGGACTGGTTTGGTTTCCGGTTTCTGGCTGAATGAGTTTTGGAAAGCCACAGCCCTCCCTCCAGTCCCCACCCCAGCCTTCCAAATCTGTGCAGTGAGGCCCCATTCGGGAAGTCAGCAGAGACTGTCCCCAGTCAGAGGGGACAGTCCATCATGCAGTCGGCTGTAGGGTCTGGGAGCTGGAAGGGGACCTGGGGGTCACCTGGCCAGTCCATTTGGGACACAGAGAGGAAACCAAGGCCTGAGGCAAGGAGAGTCGTGGCACAGGTCACTGAGGAGCCTGAGCCTGAATGCAGGCTTCCCGATCCGTGCTCTGCCACCCTGTCCCCTCCAGCATGCTCCTCTCTGTACTGAAGAACCTTGGGAAGAGAAACAGCACATTCCACATTTGAAGCTTGACAGCCCTGTCCGACTGCTCCTCGAAGCTGCTGGTCTTGCAGGATGTGGGCCTGGCTCTTCCCTCTCCTTGGCGGAGGAAAGATGGTGGCCGCTAATCAGCCTTGGGTCTACTGGCCCAGCCATCTGTGTGCTCCCTCGCTCTGTCCCCCTCTCCTTGTATTCTCCGGGGTCAGTGAGTCCTCTTGGCTGTGTCTCCCTCCAGGTTCCAAGCCCTGCGTCTGACGATGCTGCAGCGTCTGGAGCAGCTGGTGGAGGCCAAGTAGCCAGCCAGCGCCAGCCTCTTCGGAAGCCCCCCCACTGCCAGTGCACACTGAGTGCGGGGGACCAGGCCCTGACTGGTCACACAGACTGAGAGCCACCGGCTGGGAAATCGAGCCCCCGCGCTTCTACATGTCTATCTGCCTGAGTACCATGTGCCCCATGTCCCTGGCTCTTGGCTCCAAGCTGAGCACTCACCGGGCCCAGAGCCAAGCCTGAAGAGCCACGAATTTGCTCGGTGGGGTCTATGTGTGAGGCTTGCCTGAGCAGTAAGCAGCCCTGAAGCTGGGGCACTGGCCACATTATGTGGCTGGATGGCGTGGCCGGTCCTGTTCATGCCACACCTCTCTTGCTCAGGAGAGCAGTACCTGATCACACCCATGGGGTGTGTGCCCTATCTGCTTTCCCAGTGCCTGGGCCCAGAGTTTCTGCCTGGCCATGAGCCCCTGACCTCCTCATCCACGTGAACCATGAGATCCCTGTCTGGCCTCCCCTCATGCTGCTACTCAAGACTCTGCTGGGAAAAACAGGGGCTGCCAGCAGGTATGGGATATGCCCTGCTTCTGGCCTTCACTTCCCCGTGGCATCCCTGGCCTCCAAGCCTTTGATGCCACCCTGTGAGCATTACACAGCCTAGCACCCTGGAAGCAGAGGTCAGACCTGGGATAAGACCATGAGCCTCCTATCATCTCTCTGCAGCACTGGCTTCTAACTTTTTCTTGGGACCTGAAGAATTCTTATAAGGAGCTTGCTGCAGGAAACATGGCACTTCGATCACATAGAGGAGGCGGCCCACATTGCACTGGAAGGATGCCAGCCCATGTGCAGCAGAGTCTGTGGCTCAGGCAGTGGCTCAGGAAGGCAATGCTCAGTCCCCATCACCGCTGTCCCTTGGATGCCCGTGTGCCTCTTGCTCTTTCTGGGCTTATTCCTTCACTCTCTACACTTCCCATCAAAGGGGCACAATGAGGAGAAATGTCTATTTGAGGAGAAAGGGCTTTGAATTCCCTGCGGCCAGAACAATTTGGATTTGTCAGCTGACGGAGAATTTCTGGAATGAACGGGAAGGCCTTTGCAAAACTATGCAACAGTGTACATTGGTCATGTGAAGTGTTTGTCCAAAACAGAGCAAGTTAAAGACCAAATTCTTTTCCCACTGGGGCCTGTGGATAGTGGATTTAAAGAGAAGAACTGTAAAGTCTTCCAAATATAAGAGACAGTCCAGCTCTGCTCCATGCAATGGCTCCTTCCTGGCACCCATAAAGAGCAGAGCCTGGGAGCAGCCGTGCTGTGTGGAGCCACCATTCCGGGTGAACTTCATGCCAGGGTTTCCCCGGCCTACCTCCGTTGTCACAGAGACACGCAGCGGTGCCCCAGAGAGATCCCCGGCAGTATCTGTCATCTCTGCTCTCCCTCCTTTTCCTAGTTTCCTAGGAGCTCAATAAAGGTGTGCTGTATTGAACTGAAGGAGTTCGGACCAAGCCTTCTTTTTGCCTGTGTGTCCACCCTGACTCCCAGCTCTAACCTCCAAAACTCTTACCCTATAACATGTGTGGCCACATTTAGCAAAAGGGCCAAAGCTGAGCCACAGCCTGCTGCTCTGGACCCCAACATGACTCCTATCCTGAGGACTAGTGTGGGGTCTGAGGACAAAGGCAGCCAAAGGGCACAGAGGAAGAATCATTGGTGGGGGTCTGGGCAGCCTGGAGAATGAGCAATAGGATCACCCTGAATCACAGAATCTCAGCATCAGGAGGACCATAGGAATCTTCCAGGCAGGGGCTCAGATGGGACGGCAATAGCACCTCAGGGAGGGTAGAAAACAAATCAAACAGGCTTCCCCAGGTTGTTCTACTCCCCAACCCATATTTATAAGCTCAGGTCTAGTTCAACTGCCAATCCATTATTCGGCAGTAATTGTGCCAGGCTGGTGCTCAGTCCTTTGCCAGACAAAGACGGAGCCACGGTTCACCTCAACAGGAGGTGTTCAGCGTTATCCTCAATTGGAGAAGCAGGCTGGATACCCGGGAGGGTCAGGGGACCAACAGAGGATAGAGCTGCTGTAGGTCCCTGGAAGGAGGCCTGGAGGCTGAGCCCAGATTGGGATAGGTGGCTTTCCAGCCTGAGAAACACGTGCCAGCTTAGGAGCAGGACGGGGCCCTGCACATGGGAAGCCATCAGATCAGGAGCCCCTCTAAAAGCACTCGCTGGTTTTGTTTTACAGTTTTTTCATGTTTAGGATTTTTTTTTTTTGCAATTGTTTCAATATTATTTAAGGCCTGCCTAGATAAGCATTACTTTTGAAATAGACATTATCAAAACTAACTTCTGAATATCATAGCTAAGAAAAATCACAAGTTACACAGGAAAGAGAGAAATGTACACTTCTACAGTCATCCTAGGGGTTAGTTAGCCAATCTTTTTATCAACAGTATGTTTGCTTTTCAGAGGCAATTTGAAAAGCTGCTAATTCAGCTCACCGTGCCACCACAATTGCAGACTTTCTCTGCTAGGCTCTGTGGTTTCCTGCTGGTTTATGTGGGAGCTCTGTTTTCCTCTCTCCACAGAGCTGACAGTATTTCTCATGTGCTCCCTCACTAACTAGTATCTCAGGCAATAAAAGCATCCAAAAACAAAGTGCAGATTCCTGTGAGTGAATGTCCTCTCCTAAAACAGGACTGTCTTCCCAGGCCAGGTCTCAGAAACCAGAGAAAATAATAAACACAGGATGAAATCTACATGATTGCAAAAGAAGGACTGGACTCGGGGAAAAACAGGGTGGTTTGCCCAGAACAAATTATCAGAAAGGACCAAAAAAAACAGCTTGTTTTTCTCATGTGATAGCCATATGCCACCTGCAGGAATGTTTACCAGAAAATGGATTAAAGGCCTTCCCTCTGTGCTCACCCAGGATACATCTGGTCCTTTAGTCCCAGGGAAACAAAGCACAAGGCTTATCCAGCCTGACCAGGTGATTTGCGGAGGAGCCAGCAAGGCACAATGTGTGCCAGGGTGGGCAGGACACAGGCCCCCGCAGCTGTGGAGAAGGAGCGGCATATCCTTCTCAGGAGCCCGAGGGGGCAACAGTCCCCCTGCCTCAGTCCCTCACTGTGATCAAAGCAGGAAATGCAGTCAGAGCCAAGTATAAAAACAGTAAATGTACACATGCCGTGTTTTGGCCCCACAAGCTGAGACTGCCAGGAAGAAAGGCAGCTGTGGACCTGCCCCTGGACTCACAACATGCAGGGTGGGGCTCTGCTCCCTCCTGGTCACGCTTTTAACAAAGATGTTTTCTGCAAACCCAGGAATGGGAATCCCCAGAGTTTCCTTTCCCAGGGAACCCAAAGGAAACAGAAAGCAAAGTCTCAGGCTTGGTGGACAGAACCATTGTTCGGGGTCCCTTTGTCGGAGATGGACCACTGCTGTTACTGCACTTGGGCCACACATGTGACCAGCCTCCCTTGCGTTCTTGCCAAATGCAGCAGGGCTCCCTGCTGAGACGGGGCTTTTCCATGTCACTGTGTACGCCCTTCTTCCTAGAATGAGCTCTTCAAATACAACCAGGCTCAAGGGCACACTGGTCCCTGCTGGGTGGTTTCCCAGAGAAGCCCCAGCCAACAAGGAGATGACAGCAGCTTGGTGGAGGTTATAGCAGTGAAGGTATTGATAGCAGCTCAATTCTCGATATATTTTGAAGACAGAGACACCAGAATTCAGAATTGGATTGGGTTTGGGTTTTGGGTGAAAAAAGACACAACAATGACATCCAGATTTTTGGCCTGAGCAACTAGAAAGAAGGAGTTGCTATCAACTGCTGGGATGAAGACTGTTGAAGGAACAGGGTGGGTGAATGTCAGAAGCTCCTCTGTGGTGCAGGTGAGGTTCAGGATGTCCATCACACATGCAAATGGCAGCTGAGTAAAAAACTGGATATACAGGTCTGGAGTTCAATAATATTTGCATGCCAGGGTTGGACTAGAGTTACCAAGTCAGGAGTCTGCAGTATATACTGTTGGTATTTGAAGACATCATACTGGAGCTGCTCTACAGGGGAATGAAGACACAGAGAACTTTAAAGAGGTCAGATGACCCACCACCTGCCAGGCTGGTGGAGGAGGAGCTTGTAAGAGAGGAGAACCAGGAGAGATCATTATTAAAGAGAAACGAGGGGGGTGTGCTGAAAATCAGGAGACTCTGGTTCCGAAAACACCCCCCCCCATCCTTGATCTTCCACTTAACACACAGGGAATTTGAGCAAACTTCTCTAAGCCTTGGTTTCCTTATTGGTAGAGTATGATAATTTCCATCTTCCAGGGGCTTTTTGGTGATAATTAAGGTGTTAAAGAAGCCCAAAATGGAGTCATTTGCCCCCGCCCCTCACCCCCCCATAGGAAACCAAGACTTAGTTAGTTTCAACCTATCCCAGGAACGTGGCCTTGTAACATCTGAAATTTCCTTAGAGCACTAATGAGTTCATCCTTATGACAAAAACTGCCTTTCCCTCCTTCGCCACCAAAATGTAACATTTTTTTTCTTTTGCTAATAACTCTTTGTCCCACCCTCCTTCCTATAAAAACCTTCCATTTTGTACAACTCCTTGGAACATCTCCACTTCCTAGATGGGATGCTGCCCATTCATGATTGCTTAACAAAGCCAATTGAGATCTTAAAAAAAAAAAACTTTTTTTTAACACAGGTGACTGTATCATAACAGTTTCGGCTCTCCAGAGTACGTCTATATAATTAATAAGTGCTCAATACTTTAGGAAGAATGAGGCCTAGGGGTTGGGCAGCCAGTGCTGCCTTTCAAAAGCCCCGACTGACCGGGCTGCAGTCAGCTGGCCCCGGAGGCCATGGCGCGCACACAAAGGGGCCCGGCCACAGGTCTTGCGGTCCTGCGGTCTTGCGGTCCTGCGGAACCTCGGGATGCCTCCGGCGCCGCGGGCGAGCGAAACAAAAAGAAACGAAGGGTTTCTTCTTTCCGGTGGGCCCAGCACCATAGAGGGTCGGCCCCGCCACGTTCCTAGAGCGGCCGCACGGCGCCGACTGACGGCGAGGCCCGCACTTCCGGCGGCGCGAGGGGCGCCCAGCGAGCGAGCGAGCCAAGGCGGCGGGCGGCCCGCTGCGCGGTGAGTGGGCCGGGGGTGCGCGGCCCGGTGCTCGGAGGCTCCTCGGGCGCCGGTTGGCCGTCGCGGGGCGGGGCAGACCTGGGCCCCCGCTCCCCGAGCCGCTAGGAAGGCTCGGCGCCGGGCGGGGGCGGGGGCGGGGGGAGCTGGGCGGGCCCGGCCTGCGAGGAGCGGCGGGCTGAGACCTGGGGAGGGCGGAGGCCTGCACGGGAGCTCCTGCGAGTCGGGCCGCAGTGCCCACGCCGGCCGTCGCCGCCTCTTTTCAGGACTAAATACTTTGAACAGGTGCTTGGGTAGCGCAGGGCTGTTACGAGCTAGCTGCAGATACTGACTCCTTTACACCTCTGACACCCCGAGGATGTCGCAGCTTTATTGTCCTCCCGATTTTATGGAGGAGAAAGCAGGTTCATTCCGGGTACGCGTGTTCGCACGACTACAGTTCCCATCGCTCAGGTCTGCCGTAATACCCGCACCTGCCGAGAAATTATGCTGAGCCCGGGTCGCGGCGCTGGACGTGGTGTTGAAAGTTGTGGCTGCACATCAGTTCTGCCAACAAGAGGACAGGCTCTGAGATCGGGCTGCTAGGGGTTGGGGACCTGGCCGAAGTCCGCCTGCCTTTCCTTAGCTGTAAAATGGAGAGCATCGCGTAAAGCTGCTATGAGAATTAAGTATCATAGAACAGTGTCTGGCATACCACTTTTTTTAGGATATGTGCTGCCGAAGCGAGCACAGTCTGGCATCCCACTAAGGCTGCCTCTCAGTATGATTTCCTCATCTGTAGTGTTCTAGGTGGATTACATAGTCTCAGAGTTTCCTACCAGATCTGACTTACATAGTATTAAAAAATAAATGTTTTTTTCAGTGTATAATTCCCGTTATAGCTGTTTTTTGAACATCAACACCACGTATATAACAAATGTCTCCTTGAGACAGATATTCTGTAAATAGATAAATATTCTGTAATTATACCCTGCAAATATTGACTAAAGTTGATGAGCGGTGCTCTCTCGGTGATTGGTATTGTATGCAGTTTGCTCTTTCTGATACTTAACCATAATTACAACAGAGATAATTATTAAATATCCAAATAAAGTCCTCAGCACTACCAGGCCTGGAGTCTGAATTATACAAAAAGATGAAGGAAAGGCAAGAACAATGATGTAATTTGTATTTTCAGTTATTTGCTTTATAAGCTTTTATGCAGAGACTAAGGGTAATTATTCCCATTTTAAAATCTCTTCCTGACCCAGGATGTGGAATATAGTTTCTTTTCTTTCTTTTTTTTTTTTTTAAGATTTTTTTATTTGCTAGAGAGAGAGAGTGAGAACACAAGCAGGGGGAGCGGCAGGCAGAGGGAGAAGCAGGCTCCCCGCTGAGCAAGGAGCCCGATGTGGGACTCAGTCCCAGGACCCTGGGATCATGACCTGAGCCCAAAGCAGACGCTTAATGGACTGAGCCACCCAGGCGTCCCTGGAAAATAGTTTCAATAATTTTATTACTTTTTCAACCTAGCTTATCCCACATTATCACCTATTTAGAGTTTGTGGCTTGTTTATGGCCATTATTTTAAATAACCTTGTAAGTAAATGAAAAATTTTTTTTAATTTTTACAGCATTTGGGTATTTTAAAACTTCTATTTTTGCATGTAAACTTACTTTCTCCTCCTCCTTTTCTTGTGTTCTACTCACTACCCTTTGTTTCCACTGAGTTTCATTCCACTTTACAGTAAAAGTTCTGAATTTTTTTTCTTCCCCAGAAACAATTCACTTGTTTCAAGTTTTCAGAGAATTGTCCTCTTTCTTGGGTTATTAGAATCTAGGGGAAAAAAGCATCTTTTCATTTACATTTTTCTTATCCAGTATTACTGAATTGACTCACAGAAACTTCCCACTCCTTATAGGGTAGTTCTTACTTTCAAAACAATTAATGCTACAAAGTTAGAGCCAAGTTGTATCCATGCTGTGAAAGTAGAATGGCAAAACAAGTAAGGATAAACAAAAATAATTTAATAAAGTAGTATGATTTGTCATTCTTTCTAATTCAGATGCCTTAAATAGTCACCAGTAAGTAAGTAGAATTTTAACATGGGAGTAAATATTAAAATGTAGTGATAGTCTGTTACCCAGATTTTGATTGTCTTTCAGTTATTTCTTCTGTTCCCATTAGGATATTATGTTGTCTCCACCTTTTAATCCTTCGGTTATATACTCATTTGATAATGCCTAATAAAAACTTTTATTTCACATTATCACTTTTATCCTGTCCCAACAGACAAAAACTCCATAGGTAAATTTGGTCAAAATTTGGGTATATTTATTAAGTTGAAACCCTGGGAATTATTAGAATTATTTTGCAAGTATTTCCCCCCCCCAGAATTGTCTTTGTTTTCATATGTATTGGATACATTTTTAATTTACATATGGATGCAGTTTCAGTGGATTGAAGATTGAATTATATGGGTTAAAGTTGAATAATAATAATGAGTGATTGACTTTGGCTTTTATTTTTCTCTTCTACACAGAAAATTGAGCTGTGTAGCTCTAGGAAGTGAAACTTCAGAAGAAGAGAGCAGACTCTTAAGAATACATTTGGCTCATCACCATGCGGTTAGGAAAACCAAAGGGAAGTATTTCTCGGAGCTCAAGCCAAGGAAAAGCCTATGAGAACACACGCAAAACAGGCCGGCAGCGGCAAAAATGGGGAATGACTGTTCGATTTGACTCAAGCTTGAGTAGACTGAGAAGAAGCCTGGATGAGAAGCCTTATAAATGTACTGAATGTGAAAAGAGTTTCAGTCAGAGCTCAACTCTTTTTCAACACCAGAAGATTCACACTGGAAAGAAATCCCATAAATGTGCCGATTGTGGGAAAAGTTTCTTTCAGAGCTCTAACCTCATTCAGCATCGGCGGATCCATACTGGGGAAAAACCCTATAAATGTGATGAGTGTGGAGAAAGGTTTAAACAGAGCTCAAATCTCATTCAGCACCAGAGAATTCATACTGGAGAAAAACCCTATCAGTGTGATGAGTGTGGCCGCTGTTTCAGCCAGAGTTCCCACCTTATTCAACATCAGAGAACCCACACAGGGGAGAAGCCCTACCAGTGCAGTGAATGTGGCAAATGCTTCAGCCAGAGCTCTCATCTTAGGCAGCACATGAAGGTGCACAAAGAAGAGAAACCTCGTAAAACCCGGGGCAAAAATATTAGGTCAAAAACTCACTTAGTGTCCTCCTGGAAAGCTGGCACAGGTAGGAAGTCAGTGGCTGGTCTCCGCTAAGGAAAGGGCACTGCTTCGGCCTTTAAAATAAATAAATAAAAGCTATCTCTTTTAGAACTGGAGATACTTTGTAATAGAGCACTTAAATACTATATCCTTTCCTAGCATGGAGACATTGTAATGACATTGGGCTGAAAGAAACTATGAGTCCAACTGTTCTCATCTTTTTTTTTTTTTTTTTTTGATGTAACTTGGAGTACAAAAGACTGAAACTATGTTTTGAGAGAATATAAGACCCTTGACCTCATGTGATGCTGCTTCCTGCATCATTTTGACAAAAACAACCATGTTTTGATGACACATGTGAAAGTGCAGATATTCTGATGACTCCTCAGCTTTAGGACTTTCTGTGGAAGGAGGAATTAAAAGGGAGAAGAAATGAATCCCATTAGTTTGGAAGTTCTGCAAACGATGAGGAGATTTTATGTTTGTAAAGTTTTGTAGTATATTAACCATTGGTTTGTAAGTATGACTCAAGATTCAACGTATTAACATGTATTCATGTTCGAAGATTTTTAATCAACAAAGCCCCATCACTCTGTTAGCTTTTTTTTTTCCTTCCCTTTCTGCTTATGGATAGTTATTAATTAAAGGAATTGAATTTCCCTCTTTTACACCAAATTCTTAGATTCTAGAAGCCAAAGTGAGAAGTGAATTAGACCACAAGTCTCCTGTTCTTAGAAGCACAGTTCTTTGAGGTGGTGGTACACTGTGTCACTTGTTTTCCAGAAGTTGGGGTGGACTTACGTTGATCCATCCCCATTTGTGTTTCGGCATTCTCTTATGCTCTGACAAACTGAGCTAGCCTTTTAGATCTACATGAATAAATAATTAAACCATATACCAACACACCTCAACTTGTTAATTAGAAATCTACAATTTATTCACTTCCCTGCTTTCCCCCTTGGAGAGTTTTCGGTAACATTGCTTATCTTAAGTGTTTGTCAACAGCGAAAGTCATTTAATTCAAGTGTTGGTGCATTTGTAGCTCCATGTGTAGATTTTGAAATGTAAGCTAACTTTCTCTGAGTTAATATGAATTATTTATGAAGTCTAGCATACGTGTTTCTTAACTTTTATCAGAACAGTGCCAAGTGTCAGACTTTTTGATCAGCCTTCAGCTCAGGTTTTAATTTCTATGGAATGCTAACATTCTTCTGGTTTTTTTGTATCTTTTATAATCATACCAGTTCCTGCTGTATTAATGACAGTTATCCATAAAAATAAAACAAAATGGAATATTTTGCATACTACTACCCTCTGTTTATTTTGCTCCTGGAAAATGGTTTTATTGACATAACACCTAAAATCATGGCTTTTGGAAGAATCACTTGATTTGCCTGTTTTTTATTTCCTCAAGCTTGAACTTTGCGTCCCTCCTGGCCTTGCATTTGAGTGCAAGTCATAGAAGATGGTCTCATTGACAATAGTTTCTTCTAACAGAATATCCACAAAGTGTTTTGTGAGTATGAGGTGATTGCAATTATCTTTTACAAAAGACTTGATCTTTGATCACTTAGCAAGTGTCCTATTAATCACAGCCAAGTCACTTTGTAGCAGGGACATGGCTGTAGGGCCATTTTGAGGATCTATCATCAGTTTTATAGCAGTTTTGTGTCTGGAATAACTTCTGACTGAGACCAACACCACACTAAGAATTTGCCAATTTTGACAGCAACCTGCAACAGAAAGACCTCTGTATATTGTTAGGTTTCATAAATTATGTTTTTACCCTGAATGATTTCCATATTCTGTATAGAAGTAAAGCAAATACTCCAGATTTTTATGTATTCCCAGTTTGACTGTGGTATGCATTTCTTCTCAGAGCCCTAAAACTAGGTCAGTCCATGGTAGCCTTCTGTAGTAACTAACGTGCACTGCAGCAACCTTCATCTCCTTTTATGACTGTCTTATGAGAGGAAAATACCACAGCTGCTTTAAGTTAATGAATTAAAGGATGTGTTCCCCTACTAGAGTTACAGGAGAATGTGAATCTGATAGGCACAGCCTCTGAATACAGTCTCCTATGAAAATATGCTGCCCCTCAATATTCTGAATTTCCATCATCACTCAGGTTTACTAAACTGAATCCTTTTATTCCTCTGGCAGGCTCCTTTCTTACACAATCTGGATGTTTTACTTGGGAAGGAAAAAAGCTCCAAGGTTGTTGTTTTTTTTTAAGTATTGCTGAAATTTTATTCACCCTACACTAATGAGTAAGGGGTGTTGTTAAATTTCTTTGCCTGCCACATTCATTTATTCAGTCATTTCGTAAGTATGGTAGAAATAAGACTGACCAAGGCAGCCTTAGTTTAAGGAACGTGGGTTAAATGAGTAGTCAAGTAGAGGAACTGAGAAACCAGGAAAGCAAGTACAGGGTGCTGTGTGAGCAAGCACAGAGACAGGACCCTCTGCCCAGTGGCTCCCAATTTCAGGGTGCTTCAGAATCCCCCGGGGGGCTTGTTAACACATTTCTGGGCCCATTCCCAGAATTACTGATTCATCAGGTCTGGGCTGTAGCCAGATAATTTACATTTCCAGCAGGCTCCTAGGTGATGCTGATGTGCTGGTCCAAGACACACTTGAGAACCGCTGCTATAACCCATTACTGGAGGGTAGGGATGTGCTTGCATAAGATGGTGTCTACATCAGATACAGAATACTATTCCCTGCTAAGGGTGGGCAGGATTTAATGATGAAGACAGCTCTGGGGTCAGCCTACTTAGGTTTATATCTTAATTACCTCACAACTGGGCAATTTGAATAATTGCTCTTGAGTAAATTCGAGAAGATACCTATGGTTGAGTTGTGGAGGCAATTAAATGAACTAATGCAGGTAGAGAGCTTAGCATGGAGCCTGGGACATTGTTTAGAATTTACTGATTAGGGGTTGCCTGGGTGGCTCAGTTGTTAAGTGTCTGCCTTTGGCTCAGGTCATGATCCCAGAGTCCTGGGATCAAGCCCCACATCGAGCCCCACATCGGGCTCCCTGCTCGGCGGGAAGCTTGTTTCTCCCTCTCCCACTCCCCCTGCTTGTGTTCCCTCTCTCGCTGTGTCTGTCTCTGTCAAATAAAATAAAATAAAAAAATCTTAAAAAAAAATTTACTGATTAGCTTCTTAGGTTGCCAGAGGCAGAGAAGCTAATATATAGAACCTAAAATTGTCAGTGACAAAAGTATTACTCCCATAAATTTAAAGGTGAGTTCTCTTACTTCAGTTGAGTCAAGAATCTCACAGAGAAAGGGATGCCTATAAAGGGCAAGAACCATGTAGTAAGTTTCTAAGGGAAATTTAAGAATCTGAATTTTTTGACAGGTAATAGGAGTCCCTCTTCAAAATAGAAGTACATAGCCACAAACAGTATTTATACTCCATATTAGGGAGGCAGAGTGCTCTCATTTTGTTGTGGAAATAAAAATTCGTTGAGCACTGGCCATGTATAAAAGATGGAGAAAAAAAGGTAAGTTACATTTTTTTAAAGTAATATTAAAACAGGTGATGACTATGGTGTGATTGCCATTCAAACTGGGCGAATTTACATCTAGTACAGGAAGGCAGGAAGGAAGGGATCGCGAAAGGGATGACATTTATTAGGTTAGGAAATGGAAACCCAAAAGGCTGTAGAGGCCAGGCAGCTAAGCCAGAGTGACCCGCGCTGTAAACTGCGTTTCAGACACTTGTTGCCATGCAGAGGTTCAGGCCCAGGCATACCAGCTCCTGATTTTCTAAGAGCAACCAAAAATCCAGATTTTCAGTCACAACCCTTGCAGTTGGCCATACTTGGACTAGAATTTTAAGGAGGTAAAGCCTCTGTGTATGATGGGGATTAGGGGGAGCAAGGAGGGGAGAGGCAGAGCTACATGACGGAGTGGAAGCTGAAAGCACAGAATGCTCAGGGAACAGCGAGTAGCTGCTTTACTGACAGTTCAGTTTCATCCAAGAGATGTGGAAGATACGGCTGGAATGGGCCTCCAGGAGAGCCTTAAATATCACCTTAGCGGTGATATTTAAGTTTGTTAAGATGAGTTGCATAAAGGTTTTTAGGGCATAGGTTGGAAGGCAATGATCCCATGAAAGAGAACAACCAAGTTGCTAGAAGAAAAACTCCCCCAGAAGAGACCCACTTGGCTAATTGGACCTACAGGGCTTCACTTCCTGCCTTGGGCCTCAAGTCTCCTCTCCTTTCGTTCCCTGCTCCACACTAAGTGACAGCAACTCCAAACTGCTCTGTAACTTTGCTTATCCTGCTTTGACCAATACCTACTCTGAGAGACCTCCGAGAAGTCAGCCTTCAGTCTTCCTTTAGACAATTGTAATGATCCACGTTTCAATCTCTCTACTTCTTCCTCTTTCCTACTAGACTGTGAGCTCCTGGCTTGTAGTAGTCATTCAAGTCAAAGTTTTAATGAAGAATGACCAAGAGGGAAGTACAGAAAGAAGTTTAAAGAAAGAGATAAGGAGTTAGTTCCGGGGAGTCTCTAGCCTGGGGGTCAGCTACCATACCTACCCTAGCTGGAGAGTGCCACCTAGAACTTTCCTTCCTCATCTGCCATCTTTATCCCTCTTCTTCAATCTTTCTATTCTTCTGGAGGGCCTTGCTCATTGTGTAGCTCATTCTTTGGTCTTGCACAAGGTACACACTTATATTTGTTGAGTGAGTGAATGAGGAATGAATGAAAAAACAAATGTATAAAATGGCATCAACCTTTAAAGAATCAGAGATTCTCATGGTCTGACGGGACCTGGAAGGCCACTTACCTCACCTGCCCCTAAATTGGATGATTATTTTTTAATGACCCAATTCTTCTTTTACGCTCTTTGAATTGTGAAATATACATACATAGAATCTATATCATTTTAGAAGACTGCCATTTCCAACTTTTAAATGACCTAACACTGTGTTTTTCACCTTAAAGCCAGATGTAGAGCATTTTAAGGACCTTGCAGACTTTTAAAGCACACACACACACACACGCGCGCACACACACACACACACATTTTCTTAGTATTGGTTTTGTGGCCAAGCAATACCAGACCCTCCAAAATTAGAAAGTCTGAAAAGTTTTTGAAAGAGATTTTAAGTTGCTAATTTGGAAAGAACGTTTTCTAGATTATTTAAAAGGTAGAGATGTGGGTCAAGGAGACCACTTGCTGTCACTGAGAGTCAAGAAGACTCTTAGAAGAGTCCACGAAGGAAGAAATTAAAGAGGGGTTCTGGAGTGGGGAATGCGTAAGAGATACTGTGGTGACAGAATGGACAGGCCTGGAGACACATCAGATTTGAGGTGCAAGCAAGAGAGGAAACACAATGGTTTCCAGCCTAGGTAACGAGGAGG